AACGTGTCAGTTGGTCCCGGAGAGCAAGAAGCATCATCATAAGGAATTAGTTACAAAGCGGACATGTAAAAATCATGATTTATTTATTTAAAAATTATCGTGGATTTTAGATTCGGTTTCTTTAATCTTTTGGGTATGCAATTATTCATCAATCGCACCAACTACTTCTTCAAATAAAATTAAATGAATCAAAACGAAAATAAATATACGTAAGTTATACTCAATTTATACTCAATAAAACATGGCTGATAGATCCTAACTACTTATAAGTAGTCAACCTTATGTAGTATACATTTCGAGTTAGTGTCATAAGTACGAAAAAATGTTATTTATGAAATCTCATCAACAATGATCCAGAAGAAACATGAACAAGACAAAATTAGACCAATATGTGAATAAATATTCCGGTCACTTAGGCAGAGTCTAAATAGGAAGTAAACCTTTTAGTTTGTCTTGGTTAACGTTTACTTTCAAGAATATTGATGGATTCATGATCACAATGAAATTCAATAATCTCCACAGCTGTATACTGATAAATATCAAGGTCTCTGAGTGTGGCCGAGGTGATAATGAATAATTATCAGATAACAGCTAACCTGATGTTTTGTTATTAAATTCTGATTACATGTACTGGTCAAACCTCGGTGATCAAGTGGATTGATAGTGATTGAAATATTCAAATCACAAAGAACAGGAAACTCAAATCTCACGAAAACACTGAACGTAAATGTTACTGATAGGGAGGTATTTAATCAGTGAAAACTAATGTAGTCAACGCATCCTTATTCATATGAACTGGCAAAAATCTCAAGACAAGGATTCTTTTACATTGAATTTAATCACATATTGGTTACCCATATTTAGTCTCTTCGGCTGGCTGTAAAAAATTTCGAAAGCTGTTCGAAACCACCTGAGTTAGTATTTTCTGAAAGATTTATTTAATTTGAAAGACTATTCAATTGAAATTAACATCAAGAATAAATAGTGAATTCTTCTAATGTAATGCATGTGTGTACAAATGTACTTTTAAAGAAGACCGTTAATAGTCTGTGTCACTATGTCTCATTGAATAATCTTTCATTAACTCATTCTCTCAAAAATCTTTAAGATTAACAGCTTTAATTATGTATTGACGATGTGCAGTTAATTTTTTAGGCTTGTAGTTTCGATAGACTAACGACTTGCCTATAGGTAGTCGTTTAGAATTATTACTAGTTGATGTTTTTAAGTTAAATATTAGAGATGTAGCTGAAAATAGTTTGAAAATACATATCGGTAAATTAATTTGTCTGAAAGTTAGAATATGTTTTCATATTAACCTTACTTCAACACTAAAATCAAAGTCAGTTTACAAGATGTTTATGTAATGAATAGGAATTATACAATTCTGTCAGAAATAACAGCAGAATAGTAAAGACAAATGTGTCGACTAGTCGATTAGAGTAACTGATTCAATTCAACTATTGATCTTTATTATTAAGAAAACTTCAATAATACTATAAATCACTGGTAAATACTAAGAACTATTTCTTCAATATGAAAGCTATACAAAGATACTACTATAAGAGATGGAACATTATGAAATGACTGCAAAATATCAAAGTGTCTAGACTAATTATATTCTTCATCGGAGTCTACAAACATATAGTGATGAAGTGTAATGCATTCATCATAATTTTGTGATTTTTTAAAAATAAGAATGTCAACATTCTTCTTATCAGACGGTGAGATAAATTACCTTTTGATTTAAACACATACAGATATATTGACCTGATTCATTACTATTTAAATCTCTCAGTTACGCTTAATTATCACTAAGTCTATACCAATAATTAGGAACAGAGATGTCAAAATTCAATTATTTGAAATATATATCTGTGGTTGAATGTAAAATTTATAAAATAAACACGTAATTTAACACATATGTCACTGACAAACTGGAAAGAAGGACACTTCAACAAGATACCAAAGAAAAAAGATTTGAGCAAATGTGAGAACTACAGAAGAATCATATTAATATCGGTACCGGGAATAGTTTTCAACAGAGTGTTGCTGAACCGGATGAAAGTAGACACTCAACTTCGATTTCAACAAACCGGATGCCGTAAGAATCGGTTGTTCACAGACCAAATAGCAACACTAAACATCATTGTTGAAAATCATTTGAATGGAACACGTCACTATACATCAAGTTCATTGATTATAAGAAAGCATTCGACAGTGTGGATAGAAGGACTTTAAAGAAACTTCTTCGACACTATGGTATGCCTAGAAAGGTTGTTCAAATCATACGGAATTCATGCAACTAACTAAAGCATAAAGTATTACAAAGAGGACAGATGCATTCCAAGTGAGGACCGGTGTCAGACAAGGCTGCCTACTTTCACCCTTTCTCTTCTAGTGGTTGACTAGATTATGAATACCTCAATATCTGAGGAGCAGCATGGAATACAATGAACATATTTTAAGCAACTAGATGATTTGGACTTCACTAACAAATGCAGATGAAGACAACTAGTATAGCAACAGCCTTCGTACCAGTAGGCCCCAACATACACAAAGGGAAAACCAATATCCACAAGTACAACACCAAACTAATCATACTTGATGGAGAGGCTCTGGGAGAGGTGTAATCATTCACGTACCTGGTTAGCATCATCGATGAACAAGAAGGATCTGATGCGGACGTAAAGGCAAAGGTCGGCAAAGCAAGAGCAGTATTCCTTCAGTTGAAGAACATATGAAAGTCAAAACAACTGTCAACCAGCATCGACCCCAGAATCTTCAATACGAACGTCAAGACAGTCCTACTGTACGGAGCTGAAAGTAGGAAAACTACTACAACCATAATCGAAAACGTACAATCATTTATAAACAATTGTCTACACAAGATACTGAATGTCCATTGACGGGATACCATCAGCAACAGCCTACTGGGGCAGAAAACAAACCAAATTCCAGCTGAAGAGGAAACTAAGAAAAGGTGCTGGAGGAGGCAAGCCCTAACTCGGAATCCTGAAGAGAAACGGAGAATAGGAAGACCGTGGAAAAAATTGTGTTGGGAACTGAAAGCAGCCATCAATAAAATGAATAACAACTGGGAGGGAATAGAAGAGTTCGATGGAGAATGCTGATGAGTGACCTGTGCTCCTCTACGAGGGGTAACAGTCGTAAGTATGTAAATAAGTATGTAGGAAGTGAAGAAAAAGGAAATTAGAGAGCAATAAGCAGAAGTTAAAACAATGACCGTGATAGTCAAGTCGTAATGCAAATGCCAAGTTGGTTTATGATCTACTGATTGTGATAGATAATGTTAAAATTAGTTCAATCTATCAGGAACAGTGCAAGTATGAAATATCTACAGTAATGGAAGTTTACTGGGTACGCTCAGCCATAATAATGACTAGACATTTAAGGTCCTTATAGTTTCACTAGTAGAATGAGATATATTTGAAGGTTGAGAAATGTTTAAGACAGTATGAGAAGAGAGGTAAACATTATAACAACGAATAAATGATGGTACTGATTTAATTTCACGGATAGATTGCAGCAAGTCACTCCAGAGTCTCGAACATTTACTAGTAACGTATCCAAATAGAGAGAAGATTTATTAACAGACTTTTTGCCAATAAAAACAGTTACTGATGTCTTAACTATAAGATAGTATCAGTGGATTTAAAATATAGTTTACTAAGTATTATAAAGAAACAAATTAAATTTAGTTTAATTTTCCGCTTCTATAGAGGGTCATTTTTAAGCTTATTACATCTGGATTTGTAGTTTAAGGTACAGTTGTTCTCTAGAATGCGAAGTATAATTTATCACTGAACAGATTCCAATTTTAGCTTATCGTTTATGTTTATACCATCAAGAATAAAATTGCAATGTTCGAATAGTGTTCAAGCACATACTTTGCATTAAAATAAGTGAATTACTTCTTATAGAGGTCACTGAGTCTTGGACGTTTATTTAGAGAACTGTTCTGAGATGGACAAATCATGGGAATACCTAAGTTTTGAGTCCGTCATTATATAATTCATTATTTTTATGGTTAGTTATAGGTATCAGTCTTATTTGTAAATAACTTGAGCCTGAGGATTTCAATCATGTCTAATGTTAAAAAATTATCAACATCAAGCTGTATTGGCAGTCAGTTAAACTTGGAAATATATAACAACCAATTCAAACCCAGGGATTTTCAAGAAATTGTCCTTAAATGAAGATATGAGCATTGCCGGTTCGATCTTACTTAGGTTAGGTATACTCACTACTGACCAGCACCATGGCATCAAAAAACAAATGTGTAGTGCTCCATAAGTTCCAATAGTTAACCTATCACCAAACTATGTCAACTCATCATGATTAACACATTGAAATCAAAATCAACTCAACAATCAACCGACATAAACAACAGTCATAACTGAAAAGTAGGTCAATTAAATTTCCAACAAGTGATATTGCTAATTAACACTAACAAATATGTTAATTTATTCAATGTTGAGTCCTACTAAGTAAATTGTGGCAAAGTTCATCTTATCTTAATCGATCACAGTGTTAATGGACCGATTTCCTTTCACTATCGTCAACATCATTGTGAGTTTTCATGCTCCGATCTGCAAAATACCATTGGTCATCTCATTTGAAATGAGTTAAACTTGTTCTTAAATAAAGGGAAATGATGTTACATTAAAAATAAACAACCAATCGCTTGTATAAATGCATATGAATAATTGATAGTCAATAGATGAATGAGAGATGAAAGCTAGATAATCTGGATATCATTTCAAGTAGCTTATTAAAATCATGTATTCAGTTCTTATAGAATTAATCATTCGATAACATATAGATAAAAACTTAATTGTGACATAATTTTCTGATGTGCGCGATTATATCATAAAACAATATAAAATAAGCTTTTCTTCTTTTTATGTATTCTTTTCATTCGAATTAGTATGAACCGGAGTAAAATATTGGCTTTATCATTGGTTACAATCATTATAATGTATATTCTATTCATAAGGAATAGATACGGACTGGATATTACTTTTGGTGATGAGGAGCTTAACTATGACTATGCTGATGGTGAAGAGACAATTTGGAAATTACGAAACACACAGTTTGATTTTATTATAGGTAAGTGATTCAGGATGTTATTGACGACTTTGTCGTATAGGTTAAATAAACTAAGAATAATTCTTGTCGAATCATTATTCTCACAATTGAAATCACCAGCCGATCTAAGCTAGGCCATCATTAAAAACCTGGAAGCACTAGACGCCGTTTCATCCTAGTGTCTAATTTCAATCAATCCTTGACCTTTCACAGCCCTTCTTTATTCATTAATGATTAACAGCAGCTGAGAAAGAGCTTAACGCCTTGATTTCTTGAATAAATAAATGTAACTGACATTTGACTATAAGCCATTGAAACAATTAGTCCCTTTTATAAACGCCATTTTCTCATAGGTCTATCGAAATTTATAAACTATTGGTTTACTGAAGGATGTTCAAACAGCTGAAACTGACAAAACCACTCGATATCTTGATTTCCCACGTCAAAAGTTTCCCATGGAAGATATGAGACCAAAAGTACTTTCTTCCTAATCATTCATGTTTAATCTATGACTGGTTTTAAAAAGCGTTTCTATTGTACTTATATGAATTTATCGGGTGTTTAAATCAACCTAATACTTTGTCAATTTAGGTTATATCTAGTAACGTAGACTTCACATCATGGATTTTACCGTCATATAGACAACGCATCTACCTTGGTAAATTTTCTACATTAAAACTGATAAACTTGCGTTCCAATTGATCAAATAGAAAACTAGGTTATAAAAAATATGATCTTCAAAAAAATTTTATCGTCGTTAATTTCAATTGACAACTAAAAAACATGAAAAATTCAATGATATATTTTACTGATATTTATTACAGTTAGTATGTGTACTGTTTTGTGACGATTTAAGATCTAACTGCAATTTATCAGTTTTGTTTAGCCATTGGACAAGCAAAAGTATGATACTTATACTCGGAGGTTAGGTACTTCCTATTTAATAAAAATTTATAAACAACCTATGCAGAGTTCATTAGAGCTATCCACAAATTAAATTTTCATTTCGTCGACTATTAAACCTCCCTTTTATTGCGTTTTGTGAGTTGGTTATGATCTCATCTCTAGTCATAGGCGGAACAAACATATAACGAGTAGTAGTATATCATCATCCAATCAAATGAAACACACAATTTCGTTTAATTACAATCATTTTGACTTGTAAAGTAAGTGAGATTTCATCATTTTCCTAAATCTGTCAACTTGTATTGCCTCTTACCACACAATGTTGGCTTCTTTTAGATAAATAATGTTAATAATACGCTATGCTTATTATTATTAATATTATAGTCACTTATTTCTCAGTTTTTGATCGATAATGTTCATGTTTATGATAAATGTAGTACGCACGATAGAAAAAAAGTAAACAATATGATGTTTACAATTGTTATTGATTTATTTAGTTGGAGGCGGTACAGCAGGTTCAATTATTGTTCGAAAATTATGGGATGGATTTCAAAAAATGCAATGTAAATCTTTAGAGCAAGCCAAATCATGCTCATCAGCAGGAGTGACTAAGAATCATAAATTATACAGTATTAGTGATGATGTGAATATATGTAAAATTACTTGCTCCAATTATCTACCAAAAATTTTGTTACTCGAATCTGGATCCGAAATCAGTTGGTTAACGAAGAAGATTAGTGATATACCCCTTCTTGCTCCATTATTGTATGGACGAGGAATTGATGTTATTGAACAAACTACTCCCCAAATATCATCAGCCTTAAAGTTAAAAGAAAAAGTAATTTACTTGACAAAGTTTTGATTTCTGTCTATCTTTTTTGTCTACATATGTATTCTGTATTTAATTTATCGGCCCAACTGCTAAATATTTTATATTTGTTTGATCAGATAGAAATTAAGAGATTTTACGAGTATTTCAATTTGCTATAGTTTTGTTTTATAATAAAGTAGTTGGAATATTTTGGAGATTCCCTTCATCCTGAATTGACTGAATGTTGTGGTTTTGTTTCAAAATTTTCAGACAAATATGGCAGTCGTATTATTTATACTGAGTACACACGGAGCATATAAATACCTTAGAGCGAAAGGTGATACGTACCGGGTTCGAGTCACATTGTAATCAACAACACTGAGTTGTAGGTATATCCAGCTGATGAATTCCAGACAGGATGAAACATGCGTTCTGAATTCCATTCCCAGACTAATTTCGAAAATAAACTGCACTTGTTATCAATATTAAAGTATTTTCTCAACCAGCCCATAGGCTGACGAGGTTGATCATATTCAATCGACTAAACATTATTTTTCATATTTCAATTCCTTCTGATTTTGTTCTGAACAAGGTAAACATTTTTTTCATTGTGTCAATTCTTGAGAGCTACTTTGACCTTTCTTAACATCTTTCACTGGTTAAATTAAAGAATAAATTTCCCTATCCTTTCTAAGTACATATACATTTGCATTTTGTAAAATCGATAATTGTATATTTCAATAAATCGTCACTGCTGAGGAGTCCCATAATAGGACGAAACGGCTGTCCAGTGCTTCTAAGTTTTCTACGGCGGTCTAGCTTCATTTGACTCATGATCTCAACTATCGAAATAATTGATGACGTTTTGGTGTCGCAGTCAGTGAGACTACTAGTAAACAATTTATATCAAAACTTAATATTTTGACTAAAATCACGAACCAATATAAGTCATACAGTCACCGAAAAACTGGAAGTACTGACCGGCCGTTTTATCCTAGTACAGGATTCTTCAGTAGTAAGTACCCACTAAACTCCAGCCGGAAATCAAACTTAAAACCTTCAGTAACCTGAGAAAAAGCTTAACCACTAGAATACAGAGCTAAGACTCGATAGCGTACAAGTCTAACTTTGATCAATGCACAATACTGAACAAGTTACCAAGAACTGAATACATGGTTTTAATAAGGTACTTGAATTGATATCCAGATTATCTAGCTTTCATCTCTCATTCAACTATTGACTATCAATTATTCATATGCATTTATACAAGCGATTGGTTGTTTATTTTTAATGTAACATCATTTCCCTTTATTTAAGAACAAGTTTAACTTATTTCAAATGAGATGACCAATGGTATTTTGCAGATTGGAGCATGAAAACTGACGATAATGATGATAATATCTATTAGTAGTAATTAGCGATATTACGTATTGGAAATTTAAATGACCTGATTTTTAATTATGACTATTGTGTTGGTCGATTGTTGAGATGATTTCGACTTCGATATGTTAATCTTGATGAATCGAGATTAGTTGATGATAGGATAACTATTGGAATTTATGGAGCATTATTCATCTATTTTGTGGTGAAACCACTGACTTTAGCAGTGCTTATTTCTTAATCATAACAGTATCAAAATTTCTACATATCGAGTAGCTTAATAAATCTTCTTAATTGTGATTGTGTTTGTTGTGAGATTCATAAAATCTTATGCAAATTGGTATCATTTAGATTATCAGCTACATTGCACACTACATATGAGATCGTCACAATCAAAAGGGCGATGGCATTACAACCACGTTATGAGCAATTCATAGAAATAAAACTTGTATTTTCCCAACATTTGTTCTAATTATAACGAATGACTAACGATTTGCTCTGTTTATCGTAAAATTGTACAGGTGATTCTTTTACCTCGTGGACATGTTTTGGGTGGTAGTGCACTACTTAATGCGATGATATTCTCTTATGGTCATCCAGATGATGAATTATTGAAAGAATTTCTACATAGCAATGAAGAATTCCTCTCTGAATTATTTGATAAAATGGAAGGTTTGTCTTATATTTTTCTTCTCGCATAGTAATGATAATAATAAATTATAATGTAAATTAAATGTAAAACACAGGGTACAATTTAATAAACAAAATAATTATATAAGCTAATATCATGGTAAAGAAAATGATCTAGCGAATCCCTTTTACACGCACAACTTAGGTTTAAAATTGTGAATGACTGAATCTATCAGAATACAAAGTTGGTTAAGAGGTACACCTCGTTGGTTCTTTGGCTGGATTTCTAGAATGATGTCAAACGATGTATGGGAGATTAAAAAATATCTTTTATTTTGCCGACGAATGCTAACTGATACAAAACTTAGATCAAATTAGGTCTATCTCCTATCTCTTTCAACCATTTAACGTCAAAATGTTGAAAAAATCTATAATCAATTGTTAATCATAATTTGGTATTTAACCGGGAAAACGTATTCTATTCACAAGTTTCTTCTATAAATATAGTTACAAATTGTTCTTTGCTTCACTTTAAAATGAAATCAAAGTAGATAGTGGACAAATCCTAAACAGTTAGCATCAAGTAGTTTTTGAAGTGATATAGCTTTCATGCCTTCAGCAAAACATTAAAAATAAGTCAATTAGGCACTACATCATATTTATCTCCTAAATATGTCACAATTGTTAAGCATAGCTAAATTTTAAGAAGGTAGTGCATTGTTGTGTAATTTGATGTTTTCAGATGATATTTTTTTTCTTCAAAGCGCAGGATAGAGGCATTAACTTAGACATTTAGAATTGAGGAAACAAATACTATTTTTCGCATCTTGCAATGATTCTGTTAAATGAGCGAATAAGACACATTTTGTGTGACTTTAGATTCAACTGTTTCTACAGAGTTATTTTTTCGAAGCCAAATCTGGTTAATAAATTCAACAAACCAACAAAAAGTCATTTTAATAATTGAATTCATGGGTCGATCTAAGCTAGATCACCATTGAAAACCTGAAAGCACTCAACGATTGTTTCGTCCTAGTATAGGACTTATCAACAGTGAAAATCCTTGATCCTGCACGCGAGACTTGAACCCAGGGCCAGGATGAAGGTTTGCGCAAGATCTGGCTTAGACTGACTCATGAATCCAACCATTAAATTTACTACAATCTCCACAAGTTTATATTCCAAAATAGTTACCTTTTTGATTTGTGTTAGTTACTTTTATCTGATGTTAGTGGATTGCACACTATACGTAATAAGCCGTAAGCACACTTTCCATGAAATGTGAAACTTGATAACAAGGCATTTTTCAAATTTCAATAAAAAATAATTTTTCAGCTGGATATAAGCCTATGTTACATGGAATTACAGGCCAAACCTTTGTCACTGAAGTCGTTGTGTTTTGACTAACCTCCTATAAAACTAAGTTATGCACACTGGTTGGTCATCTAAAATTAATTAATATCATTTTGTTTACTGATGATTACTGGTCAATGACTATCCATTAAGTTCAAATGTAGCTATTTTTGATTATCTCAACTATCAGTAGGCTGATATATTTATTAACTGTGGAAATATACTTCCTTTCGATTGAATTTCGATTATATGGGGTATTACAATTTAAATCCAAAATTTCAAAGTAATTTTGATTCTTAAAACCTCATTCTAACTTACGAAGTTAAACTACCAGTTCACAAGCGAACATAACTTATTCCAATGCATTATTTCCATGTGATTTTAAAATTTATGGTTTGGATGTAAAATAGATAGAGGTTAATCTAGATTTAAGTTGGGTATTGTCATTGATGGATATCATTTGGAGGAACTTTACTACCACAGAACAAAAACATTTGTTTGTCTTAGCTACCAACTGCACGAGTGGAGACTTCTCACTAGGACCTCCTCATTTTTATCTTAAGGCTGATCGTTAGTGAATTTCACATCCGGGATGAGGCGGATGTTTAAAAAGAGCAAAAGATGGTGTCGCACTGCGATTAGTTGATTAGATTTGGGATTGTGAACATCGGGATTCCAGTTCACTGATGAGAAGTTAATGCTCTATCCATAAAACGCGAAAGCCCTAAATCTAATCTCTGATGAATTCATGGGTGTACAATGATGGGAAGTGACATCCTAAGCGATGGTTAATGGTGTCCAATAGTTTCACATATGATATCTTTCTGTGACAAAACTCAGTCTTAATTTTAAATTGATCTCTCATGTAATATTATATTCCCTAAAGAAAATTTTTCAAACACTTTCTCTCAAGGATGTAATCTAAAACCCGAAGCGATACGTCATTTACAGCATAACCAATTAATTCATGCATATTTTGCAAAAGCCTTTGAGATGCAAGGATTAAAAGTTAATTCCAGTCCTCCTGGGTGGTCTTTTGAAGGTTTGACTATTCCAATGGGTAAGTCATTAATAAAATGTCTGTTAATTCATCAAGAGTGAGGCACTGTAAGATATAAACGGCATTATAAAATTATGCTTCATATTATTAAAATGTTTAGGTTATAATAATTCGTTACAGGATCATAACGACGTGTCCTTACCAAGCACTAAGATCTTTGCTTTTTGTCTTTATGTATCTTACAAAGTGTTTATCTCAAAAATACAAGATACTGCTTCCACACAAGCTTTATTAATACCATAGTAACTCTGTAGCAATACGCTTAAGTGTTAATTAAAATAGCAATGAATGACTCAACTAGTTTTAATAACTTGATCATACAAACACCAAATTTCATCTCGTAAGAAACATTTAACAACAACAATCAATCCATGTCAGTGCTACTACGACACTGAAACATTTACAATGAACAACCCCAGTTTAGACTATTTTTTTAAAATGATTAGAAAGCATTTTTGACCGGAATCAAGTAGCAATTCATTTTCATCAGTTTAATTCTAGTTATCAATGTTAATGTAAGAAAATGAACCACATTTCATATCATTGGTTCTAAAACAATAAACGAATTATTTAGGGAAAACAGGTGAGCCTAAGGGTAAATAAATGACATGATTGTATTTATTAGTTCTATGGTTGTTGGAATCTTGCAAATCTCATGTGAACAAGTTAGATGAAACAATTAGACTACATGAAAATATACTCAGTAAGCTTTCGTACATTAGAATTGTATTTATTGGTTGGCTTGATATACAATATGACGATTCATCGTATATTTTTATGAGATGATAAAAGTTCAGTTGACCGGAATAATTTGAAAAAGTGTCAAGAAAACCTACTATGACTATTATCATCGCTTTAGTTACAAACAGACTGTTTAGTGATTTTTAGGAAGGTTGTTTTCTACGGGATGGGGTTGCTGACCTCATGCCCAAACCTCCTCCATTACCGGTAGTAACACTAGAAGAGCTACGCGTGGTGTTTGTTACGAACTTCGCCTAGTGAAAATGTTTTTTAATAGAGCTGAAGTGTTCTACCTTAATTATTTAATGAAGAGTTAAGAAACGTCTACTTGCAAACGACATTGGTTATGAACTATGATAAACAATAACATGAAAACAATTAACACCATAGTGTCAATGAAAGATCTGTTTCTTCAGGAGGTAATGAGATTTCATGAAGGATAGGTAGAATAATAAGATTGACACAAAGTTAGTGAACCCCACCAGTCACAGCTTCTCACTAAATTTAACATAATTACCTGTAAAGGTTAGTCATCAGTAAGTTTATGTGATGTTTTTAACTATAAAACATGGAGATCGGTGAATCTTATAGTTTATATCATGAACCAAATGTGACTAGACAGTCGCTGAGAGTCAGGACGAGCAGGATCGTTGTCTCTTCCAAGTAATTGATTCGTCAGCATAACAACACAAGATCCAGGATTAGAACAATGATATGCAAATATCTCAAAAACGGTTTAGCCTGTAGAACACTGAGTCAACATCAAATGGTTTGTATTTTAAAGTAAGACCATTATTCAGGGGCACTGTTGAGCATCTGCTTAACTACCAACAAGCTTGTTTAGTAACTGATTGATAGTAATTGTGACTAAATTTTCATAAACACACAAAAACACACCGATTTTAACTATCATACCTAATATCATATTTTACAAAATAATTAATTCATTTTACTCTTAATACTAAATTTTGTACTGGTTTTGTTCAGTGCCGTGTATATACAAGGAAGTTGTGGGAATTGTAATATTTTTAGCAGTTGAATTCACGAGTTGATCTAAGCTAGATCAGCATTGAAAACCTGTAAGCACAGGAAGACCGTTTGGTCCTAGTATGAGAGTCTTCATCAGTGAACATCTACGACCTTCGGTTTTGCGCCAACGCTTAACCTCATGATCACTGAGCCGGGATCTAACAGTGTTAATGTCTAACTTTAACTAATTCACGATATTGCGCGACCATCTTCCATTGTCTGAGGTGGATAACTGTCTCACACCCAACACATGTCGTGGCTTGCGCACTGTTGAGGAATCCCATGCTAGTCGAAACGCCGTCCAATGCTTCTGGGTTTTCATGTGAACTAGTTATATCTCCCTTCAAATGTTCCCATCTTCCTTACTGAATCTAAATTAATGAATATGTTCTATTCATTACCTGCCACTGTCAACAGCTAGTAGTTCAGCTTTTTGTTCAAAATTAATAATATAACAGTGAATAAACGTTACAAATTTCATTTTATTCTCACTGCTCCATTTGTTTATGCTTTGAAAAAGTTAGTCTTGGGTACATATCAAAATGTCTTTATTGTAAAACTGTCCCACAACTTATACGATCGAATATAAACAAACTGCTTTGTTGAAGACATATTTCGACCTTTCCGAACACATGTGGTGGATTTGAAATACTATCAATGAACAAATTGCATCGTAAAAGAGAGTTATCGTAATGTTTTATGCTAGGAATTATTTCTCATTGTATGTGAGCTTCAATTGTTAAGTAAAATGATGAATATTGTGATTTTCTATTGGTAAATTATATCTTTATAATACTTTTTTTAGTTTTTGTTCGTAATGCTCAACGTATTAGTTCATATAGTGAATGCCTTTTACCGTTGACTAAACAAAAGTTCACCGATTTGACAATTCTCACTGAAACACAAGTTGAAAAGGTAATTCATTATTATCTGAAATCTTTGTATAATCAAAACTATATTAATTTACGAATTTTCATAAAAAAAACTCAAGTGAACTCTTAACCTGCAGACCACTAGGCCAGCATCCAATATAAATAATGTCTAACCACATTAACTTCTAGATAAATGTCTTGGCATTCTAGTCTTAACCCGTGTTCTGTTTAGCCTACAAAGTGAAGGATGAGATAACAACTCACTGATAGCATTGAAAACAGATCGTGTCCGACGACAAATGGCTGATAGGTGAAATATATATTACTGAATTACTGGTTGATAATCTTTCGAAGTTTTGGTTATCATAATACATGAAGATTATCAATCCACAATTCCGAGAAACTTAAAACCGAGCTGAAATTTCTGTTCAGTGGTCCTTGGTTTTAATATTTCAATAAATGATGTTAGTTAGTGACGAAAATGACTTGCAAATGGCGTGAATTTCTGTCATGGCTTAATATACATTTTGATCAAAAAGACACCGGATCGTATAAGAGACTATTTTAATTTTTATCGGAAAATGTTGGATTTGTTATCAATCTTACCATCTAAGTTTTAACACCTTGAAATATTTATACCACCTTGAAGTACCATAAATAATATCTGAGAGGTTTTGTACAGTTCATTATTGTTTTTATTTAGTTTTAGACTGAATTTAGTCATAATATATTTAAAAACCAGTGACTACTGGACAACTGTTTAGCCTTACATTGACTCTCAACGAAAGTGGAAACCATCCACTTCTTCAGTGATCGAACCTAAGACCTACAAATCTGTCAGAGTCCATTTATTCTTTAGATCACTGGCTTGACTTCAATAAATTCTCGATATACCACTACAGCTTTTAGTACAATCTTTAATTACTGCCTTACTCCTACCCTGACTGAAATCCACCGGTTACTATTTTACACGTCCTCCGTAAAGTAAACACCAGTGATTTTGAACATTATTTATGATTAGTTTACATCTGCGAAATAAATTGTTATAGGCATTTATCATATAAAATTCTCCCTTAATATCCTATGAAATTAGTGCATTTCGAAGGATATACAGCATGTACAATGAAGTGAATTCACCTTATCTTACGATGTGCGTCATTTTTGTACTTCGAAAAATATTTTGTGTTTGTAGATTATTTTCATGATGTATGTAGAAAAAGTCTAATTTGAGGGTCAATCTTCACCACAAACCTATGTCATCTAGAAATCTGTCGAAAAGCATAGATTACTTAGCACTTCAATAATACACCTTTACAGTCTCACTTGACATCAACCCAGCAAGTGATAATTTTAAACTGGTAGGTTGAACCACAACAGTCTAGATTTTAAAATTCATTCGAATCGTACAACAGCTCTAAAACATCAATATTTTGAATGTATTCTAATTGTTTTGAGATTATTTACTACCGATCCTTAGATTTTTAGATGGACGCTACACATCCTTTTAGCAGAGCTACATTGTTTATTTTTGGTTTTCACAGATACTCTTCAAGACAGGCTTTCAAGAAGATTTATCTGCTTATGGAGTTCTAGTTAACTATAAAAATCGTTCTTTCACAATAAAACTGAAAACTAATTCAGGTATAGACCAAAAAATATGGCCAAAGCCTGAAATCTTGCTTAGCGCTGGTACAGTAAAAACCCCAGAGATTTTATTACGCTCCGGTTTGGGGCCCAGTCGTGATCATCCTGTTTTTAATCAAGTGAGAGACATGTTTGGGTATATTTTCAAGGTTTATAAATTTATATGAAAGGTATTTGAGTTTGATCTAATTCATGGTAAACTTGAAAATAATTTCATTTCAGAAATTCACCAGCCGTATGTTGGCAATATTTAACAACGACTTCCTAGATTATGTAATGTTATATTTCTCTGTTCTCTTTCCTAAATAAAAAGGTAGATTCCTGAGGCACAACATCAGCAAACAAATATATTTAAGCACTCGAAAATTCTCACCATGAGGACTAACATCATTTTGAGGGGACAATACACTATACAGATTGTTTGACATATTCGCAGGTTCTCGAAAGGTAGGGAATCTTTTATCATAGTGGAAAAATTCTCAGTAAATTAAATGTTTACTAAGAAACTGTAAGTAGTTGCTTAATTTTTATAGTACATGTTTTACAACCAGTAGGTTATAGATTTGAACCCCTCTCAGTCTAGTTCGATATAAATAACTTTATAGTATTACCAGGCCTCACACTAGTAGTTTTATTCAAAGCTAATCTCATAAACCTGAATTTCCGATAAATGAGCTGTATTAAAAATAAATAAGTAATGTCTGCAGAATAAACTCGATCCTGGTCAAGAAGCCTTTGAATGAGCTGTAAAGTTAGCTACTATGATAACAAAAAAGATGGTCAATATCAAAAAGTTTAGGAAAAATAATGAACACTTGAAAATAATTTGACTAGATGATAGTTTACACTCATTCTTGCTATAAAAATAATAGGTTGACGGTTTTTAAAGTTCTAAGCATTATTATAACAGTAACGAAATGTACTGCCCTATCCTGTTATATTTCATAATGTTTCGAAACAGTAACCCGATCAACGCTTTAGCCACACAGAACATGTATACACTCTACAGGAAAATGTATCATCATTTTACAATAAACAATTATACTTTTAGTTAAAAAGGTTTTGTGACGATTAGCCTAATTTCCAGGTTGTTCTCTTCTGAATAATATCCAAATCGAGCTCAGTCTACGAGGAATACAACGTACAAATTGAACCAATCTCCATAAAACCCCTTCAACTAAACATTGATTATTAGTTTATTAGTTATTTACTTTCAGATACTTTAGAAGTCCTAGCGAGAAGTGGTAACTTTTGGAGTTCAAGCACGTCAACAATAAAGCAGTCGTCAAAAATAGTATTGGATGATCGTTTGGCTGTATTGTGAAATAATGGAAGCCAACGATTTTTTATCAAGCAGCGAACCAGTAGATTTCGCGGTCAAATAATCACTGCAAAACTTGATTGTTTTGAGTTCTAAACCAGAGCAATAATATGTGAGCAATGATGAAGAGACCTATACTAGGAGGAAACAGTTTTCTAGTGTTCGTTGATTCCTATTGGTACACCAAACGAGATCAATCTTAGAGGAAATCAATCTACAAACTCATTTAGGAAACTAACCCTGCAAGCTGCGTTTCAACAACCAAAAATTGTTGTAGTTTGACATACAAAGCTGACTCTGAAAATAATTCTTTCATTAACGTTAAGAAAGCTACTAGGTTAAAAAATCTGAATGAAACCCGAATCCTTTCAGAACAAATTCCTAATAATCTAGAAAACGAAATATATAACGTCATCAAATCAAAATTCTGTAAATGATATGTCTATTATCATAGCAAAATAACGCTATCCAAATTATTCAAGGTCATAAACTATTCTTCTCATCTGGATAGCCTGTATATTTAGATTCTACCCATATTGGTTAGATTTTGAAGTCCATGGTTTTCGAACATAAGAACAACATTATCATCCCTATCACAGATTAAAGTATGTACTTAAGTTGTTTAGTAAAACATAAAGACCTATTTTAATACAATAATCATTCTGCTACACAGTTGTTTGCTAGGCATCTTGATCACTTTATCCCTTAAATTTGCCCAGTTCATTTTAAATTGAGATTGGTAGAAAAGCCATAAAACAATAATAAACTCTGCATGATTGTTTTAGCTCAGTTTAAAATACATCAGGAGTTCGTAACCAGGACTTCACACAAGATTTAGACAAAAGCTTTCGATATATTTAATTAGCCTTATAATTATCTTACAGACAGAAATCTAAATAATTCCAACCACCATACACATGGAGCCCATTGAATGCTAACTTATCAGTTAATGTTTCATAACCTTCGCATTGCCAGTGAATTTTAGCGCTTTTAGATTGTACCGTTTGAACCACAAATCGAACTTAGTTAGAAAACCATTGAAAACAATGAATTGATGAGTTGTTTTGTTCTGGAATGTGGGTTTTTATCAAAGAATATCCACTACCCCAACAAAGGTTGAACGCAGTGCGTTCTGGTAAATGTTTAACTATAAGACCAATGAGTCGTGTCCAGTAGAAGTCTAACTTTAGTCAATTAGCGATACTTTTATGGTACCGTTATATCAACCAGGCATATTTGTAGGATACGAATGCATATTCTAAGACAACCGATAAGGTGAATATTGATTTCAAATAAAGACTAAAATACTGACGATACTAATAACAATGGAATTTATAAAGTAGAGTGTATAAATTTGTTGACGTCGAAAATAATCTAATCTATTTCAGTCATGACGTTTTTTTAAAAGATAAGTAAACAAACTTTCTGTGTGCTAGATAGTTTATTTAAATAGTGCTAAAGCAATGCAAAACATTCTATCTTATCATCAAAACGGGTTGGTTAAACACCTGGCGCGCGACTGATAGGTCCTGGGTTCGAATGTCTCGAGAGGCGCACTGCTGAGCAGTCCCATACTTGGACGAAACGGCCGTCCAGTGCTTCCAGGTTTTCCATGGTGGTCTAGCTTCAATTGACTCATGATCTCAACTATCTTATAATCTTGCCTGAATTTCGATCACTGTGATTTCATTGAGATCATGAATCAATTGATGTTAGACCACCGTTGGAAACCTGGAAGCACTGGACGGCCGTTTCGTCCTAGTATGTGACTGCTCAGCAGTGAGCATCCACGATCCCGCACCCCGTGAGATTCGAACCCAGGACCTACTGGCTTCGCGCCTGAGCACTTAACCATTAGACCACTGAGCCGGCATCCAATGGTGTTGGTCGCGCAATTTCGTGGATTGGTTGATGTTAGACACTAACACCATTGGATGTCGGCTCAGTGGTCTAATGGTTAAGTGCTCAGGCGCGAAGCCAGTAGGTCCTAGGTTCGAATCTCACGGGGTGCGGGATCGTGGATGCTCACTGCTGAGCAGTCCCATACTAGGACGAAACGGCCGTCCAGTGCTTCCAGGTTTCCAACGGTGGTCTAACATCAATTGATTCATGATCTCAACCAAAAACTTAACTATCTCTACAACCCCCATACTGTGATTTCAGTTTGATTGATTACTTAAGTTGAAATCCCTTCTGTGAAACTAATGGAATTTCTTCAGTTCCTTTTAAAAATAAACTTTACCACCCTAATTTTAAAAAATGTGCTTACTGTCTTAATATTACTCCTATTAACTCTACTTCTTCCTTGCTTACGCCTGTTACTCCCAATAGAGCATAGGCCGTAGACCAGCATTCTCCAACCCACTCCGTCAGTGATGCTGCCCAGATATGTAAAGGTTTTTACATCTTCAAAATCTCCGTCAAGTATGATTCGATTGTTGCATATTGTTTTGCATCGGAGAATCTTGCTTTTCCCTTGTGTATGTTGAGACCCACTGTTGCTGAGGCGAAAGGGTGAGAGCAAGCAACCTTGCCTAACACCGGTATTTACCTCGGACGAGTAGTCAACTGTCCTCCATGCACGATTTTGCAGTTTAACCCATCATATGAATTTTGTATGATACTGACTATCTTCTGAGGCACGCCGTAGTATTGCGATTTATCTGTACATGATCGATCTTTACGGAATCCAGCCTGTTTGTCTCGAAGTTAGGCACCTACGGAGTCCTTCGTTCTGTTTAACAATACACTGCTGAAGACTTTTCCTGGTATTGAGAAAAGAGTGATGCCCCTGTAGTTATCACACTTGGCGAGGTGTCCTTTCCAGTCTGTTGGTACTTGTTCTTCATCCCAAATCTTGCTGAAGAGGATGTGGAGTATCTTTGCATTTACTGCTACATCTGCCTCTCCTGGAATGTTGTCTGATCCTGCTGCTTTGCTACTCTTGATTGTCTGGTGGCCATGCTGATTTCCTTAATTGTTGGTAGGCCAACATCGATTGGGAGGTCCGTGGGTGCTGCTTCAGTGTTGGGAGGGTTTGGTGGGGCTGGTCGATTCAAGAGTTCTTTGAAGTGTTCTATCCACCTGTTTCGCTATTCTTCAATGTTGGTGATTACTTTGCCTTCCTTGCTTTTCACTGGTCGTTCTGGTTTACGATAATTTCTAGTGAGCTTCCTTGTTGTGTCATACAGTTGCCTCATTTCTCCTTAGCTTGTAGCCTTTGCCGCCGTCATTGCTAAATCTTCCACATATTTACGTTTGTCGGTTCTGATGTTCCTCTTCACCTGCTTGTTTAGTTCTGTGTATTCAGCTTGTACCTTGCCTTTTTCTGTTTTTGTTCGGCTGGTATTGATTGCTGCCTTCTTGTTCCTCCTTTCTTGAATCTTATCCAGTGTATCAACAGTGATCCATTCCTTGTGATGGTGCTTCTTGTGACCCAGAACCTCATGTCATGTTGAAGTGATTGCTTCTTTGACCTCCTTCCAGTTGCTCTCTACAGTAGTTCCTTCTCAATTGAGTAGATCATGAAAGGTCTGGAATCTACTGCTGAGAACTATCTTGAATTCGTTGAGTTTGTGACCATTCCGAAGAAAAGCCGTATAAAACTTTTGTGATGTTGTCCACCCCGTCGTCCAGTGCTTCTTGAGTTTCAATTTCATCTTGGCGACCAGCAGATGATGATCTGATGCTATATCAGCTCCTCTTTTAATTCTCACATCCTCCATCGTCCTCCTGAACTTTTTGTTAACGCAGATATGATCGATTTGGTTTTGCGTAGTGTGATCCGGTGAAGCCCATGTGGTTTTGTCTATGCATTTAGTCGGAAGACTAAATCTGTGTACCAAGTTGTTACCTGAATAACTCATGTATATTAATGTAATTAAGCAGTTGTATAGAGATTTTTTATCATGTGAGAGTTCAACATCTACAAATGACTGGTCACTGGGTGGTGATCAATGTCGTGTGTGTCCTTAGTGCAGACCAAATTCTATTGACCGAGTTGCAATGTGGCCACTAGTCTAGGTGACTTGACATTATGTGAACTGTGTTGAGATGAAAGGCTGACTGGAAGTAGTAGACAGGAAATCCTGGACCTAAGTTTCGTGCTATTTGACACTTGTCACCAATGTGTATCTTTAATCTTGAGGAAGCTGATGTTCCCTAACGGATTCCATCCCGTATCATTCAACTTCACAGTCAGAGACGTTACCAAGGGACTATATATCTCGGAAGGTGAGTGACACAAGATATAATCCGTCAGGGGGTATCAGTTCCCTCAAGAATACAGGTATACATTTCTGGCAAGTGCCAAGTAGCACGAAACCCAGGTTCAAGGTTTCCTATCGACTACCACCAAATCAACTATTGAAAATGAAGTAACATTTGATAGATATTTAGTTGCAAACAGTGAACTCCAGAATAGTGTACACAAACAATATTGCATAGTGTCAGGCCCAAATTCTTGAAGTTATCGTTTGATGGAGACGATATTATTGAGATAACAGTTGTAGAAATGAATAGTCTATGTTTACAGCTTAAGTTTTTTCAATAATAAAATGCCACCATCATCCTTTATCAAAGGTGACTAGCAGTTTCATTTCCGACTATATTCGTTCCACAGATTATCTTGAATTATTTTTGCAGTGAGTGAGTTTGTAATACATTTAAGGAAGTCTTCCAATATTCAATAAAAGCCGGTTGTATTTTTTATCAAAGTTGTGGATTCGATCCAGTGTTCATCTGTAGATGAAAATTTGAAGTAGTTAGTCTCCAATAAATACCCCATTCGATACTCTGCTTATTTCGGGTTAATAATGAAAGTTACCCCCAAATAACCTTAATATTTGTATGTATATATTAATGTAAACAAAAATGTCATTTCGATGGATACTTATTTTCATCTTATTCGTTTTCATTTTATCGTATTAAGGAGCATAAACATGTCACGCTGCCAGTAGGTGAAAATCTTCACGATCATCCAATGATTGGTTTAATATGCTCAGTTCTAAATGGAACAACAGTGACTACAAAAAGTTTAACTTTATTAGAAATATTCAAATATTATTGGCAAGGCAAAGGTATGCATGTATATGTGAACTACAAGATAGTAAATACTGCAAACAGCGTTTAAAGTTTACTCTTATCAATTTAGTTTAAATGAAAGATGTTTATTTATTTCTTTATACTATAAAATTAAATTGATCTTAGTAATCACACTAACATTATCCATAAAATTTGTCGATATGAATAAGTCACTTGATAATAAGATATTTTGATGAATTTAGTGTGAAGCAAACAGACGACAAGAGTATCGTTCTACTTTATACTCATCAGTTAGATGTATCGCTGCTCTACAGTTGATATTGTCATTAAAACTTAAAACCATTGCTTTTCGTTTTTAACGCTAAAGCGTTATCTATTGAGTTACTGAGTTCAGAAAGACACTTACATATTCAATAGTCATATTGTTTTATATTTTTAGTCAGAGTTTACATTGTTGATATTCGTGACTGAATTCAATCAGCATTTGTCGTCATATATGCATCCCATTGGAACTGTCTTCATGTAGACATTTTGTCATAAGTTTTAAAATGAGTTAAATTGTGTACAGTGGTTCAACCCAAGACGTTCAATTTTATTTGTTGATTATACATTCATCTCGATGTTGATATCCCTATCGAGACTCGAATTCATTGTGTAGTGAACGAAAACTCAGGTGTAGAAAATCAAACAGCTCAAAACCAAACAATACCCTTGCAAAATATGAAAATCATACATTAAATACACTATTTACACATTTTCCTTCAATTGTCCTGTACATACTTTTCCATTCTTTCCGTTTGGTTGTTATTCCAGTTGCTCTCTGTTTCCCCATCTTTTCTTTTTACTTCACCCCTCTGCTAGTTAATTTGTCCGCATAAGTAGTGTACGCCACAATTGCCTTCCTTTTTAAACACTATAACTGTCACAATACTCGTATCACCAATTATTTTAATCTCAATGATTTATTATGTTGTATCCAGTTTAGTGAACTATTAAAAAGTAGTACATGAATCAAATTGTTGAAAATCGGTTGGATGTTTACAATTTATCACCAAAAATCTATATTAAGTACATCGTTTTTTATGTGTATAATTTTTGTTCAGTTTTAATTAACAATAATGATGGAAAACATCAACCTATGAGTATTAAGGGATACTACATATTTATCATTTCACATCAAAAGAAAATGAATCGGTAGCTTAATGATTAAAGCATTCAGCTTTCATATATTAGGCTACAGATAGAAAATATTCCACTTGATTCGGTTTACGAAGCTTGATGATATAACCGGGTATCACACAAAAAGTATGTCTCAAAGTCGTGTACTTAGTAAACGTTCTGGCAATTATCAACTTTGTTTACACTCCAGAGATCCATAGTCATCTCATAAGGCTACCAAAGTTAGCTTTTTATATTTATAATTGTAGTAATGTTTACAAATAATAAAAGCTCTAGGCAAACAGTAATCCCTGAAAATTCCAGCAATCCAGGTGTTGCGTTCGCTTAATTTTTTTGCAATCGCCTAAAAAAGCTCCCATTTAAAACATAGGACATGAAGTGTTAAGTCCAGTAAGAAAATAAATGAAATGATCATTTGACGATTATTTTTAAGGTTCTCAAGGACTTTTATCACGGAATTTTTTAATTGTAAATGGCCACAATCTTTTATAAGAATACTAATGAATCTTTTAAGATTTCCAAAATGCAATCGATCTTAATTGCAGGCTTGATCACATATGAAGCAATTCATTTTGAAATAAGCAGTTCGAGTGTATGTTACTTGTTTTAACAGATATGAGTAGTATGTGGCATCAATTTGAAGTTCAATGCCTGCCAGAAGATTGAAAAGAAGAGAACAGGAAAGGAAATCGGAAAACAATCAAAATAACAAAAGAACTGGAGGAATAGTGGAGTATGTAAAGGATAATGCAAAGAAGCTGTGCAAATGATGTATTTGATGTATGATTTCATAATCTACTGTGATTTTGCATTAAACAATAATTTAAATTTCCCTACCTGAGTTCTCGTTCACTACAGTTTATATTTACAAAGATTACAAATAGCCATTTTATAAATCATCCATGAATCTTTACTTAAAACCAAACTAAGTGGTGATAAGTTAGAGAAAATATGAATTTGAAATCAGCATTTTTTTCAGAATTTTAGTATGAACATCAGCACTGGGATCTAAGTACATTCAATTGACAAGTATCAGACAGGACGTAAACCGAGTTTTTTTACTCCACTACCGGTCTCAATCAAGATTACAAAATCGGTAAATCGATAAAGATGAACATATGTTGACAAAGACTAATCAAAATTCAGTCATGATTATCAACAATTAGATATGTTATATGCTTTCTAATATTGATTTTTTATGAAATGATTTCGAGATCGAGAATTAAACTGTTTTATTATTGAACTGTTTGTTTCTCATACAGGTTTACTTTCACAAGCATCAGCATTAACTTCAATTGGTTATTATCGAACAAGTTACCAAAAATTAGAGGGTGATTCTAGACCAGATATACAATATACGGTTATTTCAGCTTCACCATTTGAAAAGGATACTTTTGAAAATGTTAGTAAATATCTTGATTACTGTTGTCATTAATGGTCAAAGTTACCTTATTTCATAGTTTACATTACGGGATGATCTGTTAGATAACCTTTGAAAATAGGGACGAATAAATCTTAAGATCTTTGGGGTTAAAATATAACTTGATAATGTAGAGATACTGTCAGCGCTTAGTCGGATAATGCGTATACTTTTTATTTAATTTTCAAAACTGAACAGATTAAACTCTAGAAATATTAACCACGCCCGCCAAAGTATCAAACGACTTTCAGTAGTGATTAAATTTTTATGGAAAATATCGATCAAAGTTTTACTAACGTCCGTTTAAAAATGAATATACACCATTTCTTTATCCTAATCAAATTTACTTAAAATGAATTGGTGTTCATAATCAGATTTTGCTGTTTACTTCTAATAAATTAAAAACTTCATGGAAATATATAGAATACAGATCATGCTGTAAATCTATTGCCAATACTTAACAATAAAACAAAAATAATTCAACATGTCTAAAAATTTTCGTGCCAGGTATATTGTTCTTGAGTAAACGGTGAAAAATCCAACAATAAGTATGTGTGGTTTCGAATTTATAGAATATAACTTTAAAATCAATAAATAAATTTCGACAAAGTGTCATTTTAAGTATTAGTTTGTTTTTAGTTTTTGAATAACCGTTAATAATAAGGGTTTATGTTATACCTTTATTTATATTCATTAGTAAATTCTGATGTGAACATCAACTTCGTAATTAGGATAACTGAGGCAGATGACTTACGAGTAGAACGAAACAGCCGTCCTGTATTTCACTGGTAACCAGAACCTAACTGTTCTAAAAACGTTACTAATAATGTCTTTTTATTGAAAAGAGTACTAAATAGATGAGTCTGAAGTGTTCTAATGATTATAGGTTCTGATGTCTAAGAATACTAATCTTTAGTTTGAGATTCACACTGATTTTTGAAAGGATTTTATATCATGGAGCGTCTTTATTTAGAAGACTAATGAAAGATATGAAGCGAAGAGGCTCCATTTGTTTCTAGCTCTGGACTCCTTGACAGTGAAAACCTATGACCTCACCAGTTACCAAATAGTGTACCCTCAGACTTTAACTTATCTCCGTTTTCTTTAAACCAACGTGTTTGCATTCAACGGTGCACATTAACAACTTCGGTCCAGCATTTGTATATTAGAACCTTCATCCATTTTCATTGGTTATACCCGAGTCATGGCTTTTTTATTAAGACTTTTGGAATTTTTCCAAAGTTACTTGTTACAGGATCATTACTATTATTATTATTATTATTAATATTATTATTATTATTATTATTATTATTATTGATTTGTGAGTTAGGTGAGGGTTATTTATTCTGACCACTCTTATTATTATATCGCTTGGAGATATAAATGTTACTTATTAATGCCACTTCTTTTCACTAATGTATTCATCGGTAAATATTTTCTCTTTTATAAAGCATGAATAACGATCATTGTGGAATGAAGTAATTTCATTTCATTTTTTGTGCTCTAAGTTATCCACCTATGCACTGATTTTCACAAAAAGAAATGAACTGTACAATTGCGATTAAAACCTGGCAAAGTTTTCCATTTCTGATCACTTTATGGTACCTCTTTTGTTTAGTCCGTTCATCTATATAATGAATTTGTATAAATATGGAAAAATACTTAGATATATATTTTTTCACTAGTGAACTAAATGGATTTTCTACGCTGCATGTATAATTACATTTGTCAAGCCTTTCATATATTTGTACAAATCACTGTGTATCTAGGTGATTTGGACCACACTAGACGAAATTAATTCACTTCGTACCATAATGTACGTTATTTTTGCTTTGCTTAAGTTTATCGAGAAAACCATGAAATATCCTTTTTTATTCGGAATAGATTACTTCATAGGCAGTACAGCGAAAGAAACCAACTAAATTGTATGGCAATGAATGGGAGAGAAGGGAAAATTTCGATTAGAAATCCGTTCAGTTTTTAAATGAAAATATTGCGTGCATATTTCATTCATGTTACTTTAGTACACCGTATCTGATTATATGATAAATCCATGCTTCATTAGATATTTTATTCTATACGCACTATCACTGGCTTGACGCATTTCTACTTTGTACACTTTACTTTTAGACCGTATAAAAATTGCACGTCGAGATATAGATGTGCTAAATTCATTCCTGATTATAAAGAGTAGTAAATAGAATGTTTATTGAATAAGGTCTGGCTTTTGTGCATCAGTTACTCACTTACTTACTTGCTCCTGTTACTCCTCGTGAAGGAGCATAGGTTACTCACCAGCATTCTCCATCCAACCCTGTCCTGGCCAGTCCTTTCCAGCTCTTCCCAGAAGTTATTCATCCTTTTCATATCTGCTTCTATTTCCCGACGTAATGTGTTCATGGGCCTTCCTCTTTTCCGCTTCCCTTCAGGATTTCAAGTTAGGACTTGGTTTGTGATGCAGTTTGATGATTTGCATAATGTATGTCATATCCATTTCCATCGTCTTTTCCTAATTTCCTCTTCAGCTGGAAGCTGGTTTGTCCTCTCGCACAGAAGGCTGTTGCTGATGGTATCCGGCAAATGGATGTTGCGTATCTTACGTAGACAGCTATTTATAAATACTTGTACCTTCGTGATGGTGGTTGTAGTAGTTCTCCAAATTTCTGCTCCGAACAGTAGAACTGCCTTGAGGATCTTGGTTTTCCCCTTGTGTATGTTGAGGCCTGCTGATGCAGAGACTGCTGCTACACTGGCTGTCTTCATCTGAATTTGCTCATGTGTATGCGATAGGAGGGCTAGGTCATCTGCGAAGTCCAAATCGTCTAATTGATTCTGAGCTGTCCATTGTATTCCGTGTTTTCCGTCAGATGTCGAGATCTTCATAATTCAGTCGAAAACCAGAAAAAAGCGAAAGAGCGAGAGAGTAGACAGCCTTGTCTAACTCCGGTTCTCACCTGGAATGCGTCTGTCAGCTGTCCTCCATGCATGGGTTTGCACTTTAGTCCGTCGTATGAGTTCCGGATAATATTGACAATCTTCTCAGGAACTCCGTAGTGCCGAAGAAGTTTCCATAACGTTCTGCTATCTACACTGTCAAATGCCTTCTCATAATCAATGAAGTTGATGTACAGTGACGAGTTCCACTAAACTGATTGTTCGATGATTATCCGTAGTGTTGCAATTTGGTCTGTGCACGACCGATCCTTACGGAATCCAGCTTGTTGATCTCGAAGTTGGGCGTCTACTGCGTCTTTCATCCGGTCCAGCAACACTCTGTTAAAGACCTTCACTGGTATTGACAGTAGTGTAATGCCTCTGTAATTTCCACATTTGCTCAGATCTCCTTTCTTTGGAGGTGTCCTTTTTTCCAGTCCATCGGCACTTGTTCTTCCTCCCAAATCTTTTTGAGTAGAAGGTGAAGCATGTTTGCAGTTACTTCGACGTCTGACTCCAGTGCTTCAGCTGGTATATTGTCGGGTACCGCTGCTTTCCCGATCTCGATTTGTCCGATGGCCATCCCGACTTCTTCCGTCGTTGGTGGATTGACATCTATAGGAAGATCTGTGTGTGATGCTTTGATGTCCGATGAATTCATTGGAGCCGGCCTATTCAGGATTTCCTCGAAATACTCCACCCATCTGTTCCGCTGTTCTTGAATTTCAGTGATTAGCCTGCCTTCTTTGTCTTTAACTGGTCTCTCTGGTTTACTATATTTCCCTGTAAGTTTCTTCGTTGTATCGTAAAGCTGTTCCATATTTCCTTCTCTTGCAGCCTTTTCCGCCGTCATTGCTAGTTCCTCCACGTATTTCTTCTTGTCGGCTCTAATGCTCTTCTTCAATTGCTTGTTTGCTTCGATGTACTCAGCTTGTGTTTGGACTTTCTCTGTTCGTGTTCGGCTGTTCTTAATTGCCGTCCTCTTGTCCTTCCTTTCTTTGACCCTGTTCAGTGTTTCTATAGAGATCCATTCCTTATGATGATGCTTCTTGAGGCCCAGAACCTCTTGAAACGTTGAAGTTAATGCTTCCTTGATACCTTCCCAGTTGTCCTCCATAGTAGTTTCTTCTTCCTTCAGTAGATCCTTTAAGGCTTGGAACCTGTTGTTGAGAGCTATCTTGAATTCGTTGATTTTTGTTAGTATCTCAAAGGAAGGCTGTATTGAACTTTTAGTGCTGTTTGTCCAGTTGTCCAGTTCTTCTTTAGCCTCGGTTTCATCTTGACCACAACTAGGTGGTGATCCGAAGCTATGTCAGCTCCTTTCCTGCTTCTCACATCTTCCATTGTCCTTCGGAATTTTTTATTGATGCAAATATGATTTATTTGGTTTTCTGTGGTGTGGTCCGATGAGATCCATGTAGCTTTGTGTATACGTTTGTGTGGAAATATTGTGCCGCCTATGACCAATTTGTTGAATGCACACAGATTTGCAAATCTTTCCCCATTTTCGTTTCTCTCTCAGTCCATGCCGTCCCATTATATTTTTATATCCGGTGTTGTCTATTCCGACTTTGGAGTTTAGATCTCCCATCACAATGGTGAGATCTTTTCTCGGACACTTCTTTATGACTGATTGCAGCCTCTCATAGAATTGATCTTTAATGTCGTCGTTGCCATCATTGGTAGGTGCATAACATTGGATAATATTCATTGTGATCCCCTCCTTCTTTGTTTTGAAAGATGTTTTGATGATTCTGGATCCGTGAGATTCCCATCCTTCAAGTGCATTCCGTGCTACTATGGATAGCATTAGAGCAACTCGCTGGGTGTGTGGAGCATTTTCCTCTTCATGACTGGAGTATAGCAGGATCTCTCCTGTATTTAGCCTTTGTTGTCCAGCTTGGGTCCAATGGGTTCCGCTGATTCCCAGTACTGTCAAATTGTATCTCCTCATTTCCGTTGCTATTTGACTGGTCCTCTTGGCCTGTCACATTGTCCGGAGGTTCCATGTACCTATAAAAATTGTTACTCAGGTTGTCAGAATGGGCATCGGCCTCGTGACTTCCGAAGGAACTCGGCTTTCACCATGAGGTGTCATATTTCTTCTAAATGAAGACCTTCTGAATCTCAGGGCAGAGTTTAAATGGTTTGAATTAATTTTCTGGTTAGCGTTTTTTGGCGAGTTAGTTTTCTACGGGGTTGCTAATCCCATGCCCAACCCTCCTCCTTTACCCGGGCTTGGGACCTGCAGTAACTCTAGAAGAGCTACAGGAGGAGTTTTGGGCATCAGTAGTTTAGCATATATATCTTTGACATTTGAAGTAATAGGTAATTTGTTCTCTTAACACCAAGATGCCTATACATTTAACTAATGATTCTCAAATAGAATTCCATTACTAGAAATTCAGCGAAATATGCACAATTAATTAAATATTTATTATTACATGTTCTTCGTTTTATGTTGACCTTAAATAATAAAAATTAACCTGAGATGGTGAGCCAATCAAAAGTAGCCAAATGAGAAGGTCAATCAATGGCATCCATTAGTGACCTGTAAGACAGGTGGATATCACTGGCTAAGACACGGATCGATATTCTAAGAGAGAGATTTACATACATATGAATGAGTATTTGTGCATCATAACATAACCTTGGATAGCGAACACTTTTACTGAGTAAAAGACAAATAATAACAAGTCTCCGTTTTTCAATTTGTGTTAGGTTATAAATTCTTTTGTCATTAAGTAAATAAGAATGTAACTCTTTTATTATACACAAAACTTTAAAATACACTGATTTTTTTAATAGTTAGGTAACTTCAATCCATCAACTTGGTATCAATACATGAAGGATGAAAATTCTAAAGATTTTGAAAATCCCATAGTTCTACTGATTAGTTTACTTAATCCGCGTTCCAGAGGAACAATCACTATGGAATACGATGACAGCGGTCAACCAACTGGAAATGTGAAAATTAATCCATCATACTTTCGTGAATTAAGTGATGTTAATCGATTAGTTGAAGGTATTATTTGGATTTACAAAACTTTGTACTACATCAATGAGAAGATAGATAAACTCAATCTAAAAGAATTAAATAAAGAACGGCAAATTGTCATAAAACTTCATTTTCCTCATTTTTCTGGATGTCCCGAAGTTCCTAAAGCTGAATATTTACACTATTTTGAACAGGCTGAATTTATTGAGAAATTGAAAATAGCCATTGAATGTTTGATCAAGTCAATAACTCTGTCTAACTACCATCTAGTTGGAACATGTTCAATGCAATTACCAAGTAAAAATAATTCAGCTGTTGTAGACAAGAACCTAAAGTATGTCTGAAGTGAGGTATTATAGTCAGATGATTATGTTACATATTTCATAAAATGTTTGATGCATATAACGCGTTTAAACTTAGAAAATTTACATGACATACAAAACATGTTGTAGTTATAAGCAAAGATGGATAGTGGAACGGACAGTGGAATCCAGGACGCGCGTTTCGTCCTGTTTGGGACTCATCGGCTGGATGTACCTGCACCTCAGAGTTGATGTTCACTCTGGGACTCGAACTCAGTACCGTTCGCTTCGAACGCCACCGCGTTATCCACTTAGCTACTGAGTCCTGATAGCCACTTGCTTGTGCAATGGGGTGAAGTTTAATTCACTTGATATTGTTTTACTTGAATCTTCCCATTGATGTTTTAGGACTGAAATTGATCAGTCTCTTATTGGCATATGTGCATACTGTGCGTATGCCTCGATATTACCTTAATTTACAAGCATGTTGTAGTTAGTTTAGTGTTCTGGTTTATTTCGGATATTTAGTTTTCTTACACTATCAATCTGTGGACCATTTTCAATTTAGCTTGATATGTAAGATGAATTTTTTGTTAATATTCTTCGAAGGCAATCCAGAAACAAACAATGAATCCTATTTTCTCTGATAGTCTTGGAAGATTCTAATTTCCATATTTTTGAATACTGTCTAAAAGTGAAATTTAAAGAGTGAATTTGGTAACTTTTGGGACTCGTCAAATACAAGTACCTTCATTCTAGTATTATCATTACGTTAACGAAGCATCCAGTCACGCAGTCTTTATGTCAACAACCTAAGTCATTCCTTCACACCAACAGCGACAAAATACGAGTCGTGATGTATAATAACACTCATTTGCACTTTTAAAAATATCTCTCCCATAACTAAATGTATGAAATAACCATTTATAATCATTAAACATTCATCGAAATTATTCTTATTCGATAAGAAACGTTATGAGATTATTTATTTTACTAAGATTGTACTACCGAATACAAAAAAATGAGAAATGATGCACTTGACATTTACAGTCGTTTTAAACAATGTTAGTTGAATTCAAATAACCTATAATATAGTTAAATATTTTGCAATAAACGCAGCATAAATAGAGAAACGAACATACAAAAAATGTAAAAAATTTATCTCTGTATACAATAGTTAATCAGCGGAGTAGCTTTCGTGGTCTGAATAATTTATTTAGGTAATACCGGTTGATAGATCACTTAAATTTGATTCGTTAGTGTGGTATCGTAAATTTAATTGTTCCTACTGTCTCAACGTGATTTAGTTATCTTAATAAACATTTACAAAACCCAAAGAAAGTATTAAGCACTTGAATTGAAGGTGGATCACCTAGAATCTACACAGAGAATTTGGAATTCTCTGAAGTGAAGAACTTTTGGCATGGACGTAATCGGTAGGTCAAGAAATAAACATTTAATAGTTTTATTACTAAACCACTAGTCATAACTAATTGTGAATTTCGACAGTTCATGGTTTTTACTACAGAGTTCGTTTGAGTGTTTAGTGCGGTGTGATTTGAGAATGCTTTCTTTGTTGATATAAATGTATATATAACAACTCTGAAATCTAATTCTTGACGATGAGTTTTAGTGAGAAGCTGTAACTAGTGGAGTTCAGCCATGTTGGACGTAAAACAGTTATTAACCTCAAGCAATTAAAGATAGCCATGAGATATCCTGAATTAATTGAAGTTTGATACATACAAAATACAATTGCATATATCGGCTTAGTGGCCTAGAGGTCAAGGACTTACGACCAAACCCCAGGTCCTGGTCTAAATCCTTTACAGAGGGATTATAGATGCACACTGCTAAAGAGTCACATACCAGGACAAAATAACTGTAAGGCACATCCTAACTTTTAATGGTTATCTGACAGATCATTTCTTTATATAAACTATGCAAATTTAACAATCCTTACAAAACCCCTATACTAATAAAAATCAATCAGCTCGGTTTAGTAAATTGAAAACTAAATATTAATCCACATATTACAATGGAAAAGATCACTTTTATTTTGTTAACATATGTACTTGTCCTAAAGTTTTATCTTCTTATTATCTCCAATTCCTGTTACAGAATAATCGGTGTGAGCAATGTTCGTGTTGGAGATGCATCGGTTATTTCAAAAATTCCAACTGGTAATCCAGCTTCACTTATAATGGCTATTGGAAATCAGTTAGCCAAATATATAATTCATGAAAATTGGCAACAGTTATCTTTGATGATGGGCTGAAACTATATATATAAGAAATGCCTTTCGACTTTATAATTTCACTTTTGAAAGCAAACAAACTATTCAGTACAATAAATCGTGAAAATGTTTTTTGAACCATTCAGTTGTAAAATGTGATTACACCTGTTCTTAATGTAAATCATGTTAGGCAAATTAATTATTAGTATTCATTATGTTCAATAATATTTAGTCAGTACTTTAGAACTGCCATTAATGTTGTTAATTTTCTTTTAATTTACAGTTTTCTTTATCTGTTAGTTTTCGACACTATTGATAAGCATGTGATAGAAAGATGATGTAGATTATTTGTTGATGCAAACATTAATACGTTTATAGGATTTAAACATGATAGCTGAATTCTACTTCATTTAAATCTTTGTATGATGTTAATATTGGGATACGAAAATTAGGATAGTTCGTTAATTTCTTTTTATATTAAGCTTACATTCAATATTTATTAAAAATCATTACTCAATCACGTGAAATCCATGTTACCTCTTTAGTATGCCGTTACAAATTTCGAAAATCTGTTAGTAACAAAGTTTATAGGGATTCAGTGGTTTTTAGATTAACTCGTACAATTTCATTCCTGTATAATCTAATTATAAATTTTCATTGTGATAGACATAATCTGTTAGCATGCAGAAATGAAATCATTTTCGTTACCAATAATCGCTATCAGATTTATACATAGGCTGCGTCTCTATTGGGACACTCAAATCGAAGTATGTGGTTTTCTCAAGCAGCTAGTTCCTAGGTCTTTAACCAAGAAGTGTGACCCATAAGGCTATAAGGCAAGCTTGGTAGACGGTGTCCCATGGTATCAGACAAATAAAATAGATTCACAAGTTGTTTGTTTAATCAGGATCCTTGAGATCACGTACACCAATCGTTTGCTATCAGGGTTTTCCAACTCTTTTAGAGAGACCTTTCATATCTACCAACCTGATTAAAGCACCGGAAATCTGCTTTTGTTACAACTATTTTCTTGATTAACATACATAATAGAGCACTTAGATAGAAAGAGTGAAATCTCTCCATGTTGAGTGGTAACAGAACATTTAAGGGCTTAAACAAGCAATAGCAATTAACACATTAAAAGATCTATCATACAATTTTTTTTAACGAATTCATTACATTAAGGTAATACTGTACAGAAATCTGGTGAATAAGAGATAGCATCAAAAGCGAGAGAAAGAATTTTTCTACTAACAAATTTCCAGGCACATTGTAGTTTAACAGAGCGGCTGTAATAATAATACCGGGATTTGTCAGTAATTAAAAACCAATACTGCCTTATATCTAAATTAGTTACGACTAGGCATTGATCAAGTTATTTTGTTTCACTGAATGACAAACTTGTGGTAAAGCCCTTCAAAATGTGTTTACACGTGGGTAGTCGAAAAAGTTTGTCGACAAAGATGTGGAAAACAGCATAGCGAGCAAATAAGTACTACTTCAATTGAGAACATTATTCACTTAAGCTTATATTTTGGTGAAAATATATTTCAGAATGTAAACAACAAATTACTATACATACATACCCCAACTACTAACACTGCTAAAGTGCAAACTGCTACTCACGTTGTCTACCAGCCGAAAATGGATGAATATTTATTAGCAAACCACTCACAGTTGAGTCAGAAAAGTCAACTTCGCCTATCGTAGAGAGTGCATGAAGAAATTATTATACCTTTCTCCTAATAGGTTCTGATAGCACTGACATTTGCAGTCTATTGGCATTTAATCAATCTACAACATTTTCAGATATGTGAATGTTACATTTAAACTAATTAAAATGCACAAAACCACTATTTCTATTATTGTAATTGTTATTTGCGATTACCATGGAACAGTTTAAAAGTGAGTTATGTATAAGAAAGATAACAATCATTCTAGTGTTACCGTGGTAACTTCGTGTTGACCTGATTGCATGATCTTTTTGTTTGACTATATACCTGATTGTAAACTCAATTCTTATCACATTTTTCTATACGTAAAGAGAATTGTTTTACATATCTCAAATGGGGCTATCTATGGAAATAGACATGACATGAAGAACTAATAATAAATCAGAAAATATACACATTGCATGACCCTGATACCTATAGCAGATTTAGTGAAGAGCTTTCATGTCTAGAAATAAATATGCTACTTTTGAACAGTGATAAACATTTGCAAACAACATTAAATGTTAACAGGATCAATGTTATAGGTTAGTTAATATTGTGCCCTGGGTTGGGGTGACTCTGTCGATCATGAATTTTCATAAGGTTACCGAGGTCTCCACCCTGATATGTATTTCCAGTGTACATACAATTATTTACTGAAATAAACGTCATAAGTATGTTTTTCTGGGGTATTCTATAACAAGATAAAATATTCACTTATCCAAACAACCAATGTATATATGAATTAAAAAGTTAAAATTGAATATTTTACCAATGCTTAAAGAACCTTTTTATATTTATTCTTTAAATATGTATGTGAAAAGAAATGTCTGTTTTTAATCTCACTTAGCTCATGCATTGTTTAGGCTTGCCTGTAGACAAAGATAAAGTTAGGTAGCAAGATTTGTGAATGTGCCAACCTAATTCTTTATTATTATTTGATGTAGGTATCATTACTTTTGAATGATACTAGAAACATTGGTTTTCCAAGTTATCCATGAATGTAGATCTCATAAACAGGATTTATAACCAGTTTAGTCAAGATAGTTGTATACTTAAATAGAGAGACGAATAATATGCTTTACTGGAAACAAAGACAATCATGAGTAACTCATGTTTATTCCACTAGTATTTACCTAGTGAGTGCGGTTCGCACTTGTTTTTGTGTTTCTTGACAGTAGTTTGGTTGTAATTTTTACTTCAGGTTATCTCTTATTCAGTCATCAGATGTCATTACAGTTCTTCATGATTTTTATTCACTTGCAATTACCATCAATCGCCAAGCACACTTTTCATTTCTTCTTCATATCTATCAAGTGGGCAATGATCCAGGCGGCCTGCTTGAACATCTGGGCTACCTGTTCCTCCGATCTAGATATTTCATCAAGTTATCTGTTCTGTTGTTTGTTTTAGCACATCATTATGTCTATTGTGCTCACAATCTATTCAGGCGCGTTTATGAAAAGTTTACAACCTTTCCCTATACGAGATACAAAAAGGTACAATCAGCGACATCATGGTGGCTGGCAATATGCATTGAAACGAATGAACATTAATGAAATGTGAATTACCGAACTCCTAACATCTAACTGGTCATCATTCAAAATTGATCGTCACAATCGATCAAGATATAAGAAAAGGAAACTTGTTGAAATACTTTATGCTGAGAATTCTATGTTGTACCAAAAATATAATGTTGAATAAAGCTAATAATAATAATAATAATAATAATAATAATAATAATAATAATAATTACGTAACACACTACTAGTGGGTAGATTATTTTCATTTTCAACTTTTAAACCATTTTCAAACTAGCTTTTGATACTTGGACTCTGAATACTTGGTGATGTACTGTCATTCTGTTGTACATAGAGCTAATATACTTCTTAAATCACTATGAACGAAATTGTACAGATTTAAAAAATCTTATTTATTGAATATATATCGTATAACAAAAGGACCATATCGAAAAAATCGGAATCAAATGAACAATCGCCAACAAATACAAAATTTATTTACGAATGTTAACAACCAGACAATTCAAACCCACACTTATAATAGTATAGAAACTATATTTCTTGAACAAAATAGTGACTATTTAAACCTAGTAGATCTGCAAATAACAAGTTCGCGTTCGAATAGAAAAATATTCGGTTCGAGTCTGAACGTGAATGAACATCAAAGTAGTAATGAGGTTACATCTAGCAGACGAGTCCAAAATTAACCGATATATATGTCCTGGATTACACTACTAGGCATAATCTATCCATTCCATATAACTTCATTGAATCGTTTCCATTTCTTCTTCAATGATACGACGGGCCTCTTTCTTTGCAAACTAGAGGTAATTGTGGTCACAATAATAGATCATTATCACTAACATTCAACTATGGATATGATGTCATAGACAAGTTCTTATATAAGTGAATAAATTAAATTAGAAAACTAGTCAGTTCGAAAATAATTTTTTAAAATAATTATTTTATTAATTAACGTGAACTTATAAAAACGTCAAATGATTTACATTGAATTAGTATTCTATACATAACATAAAATTCATGAATTATTGATTGTTTTTGTTTTATGATCAATATTATCTTTAGTTAAAATGAATCAATATTAAAGTAAATAGCACTTTCTGAAAGACAGATCAATAAAATAATCAATAAACTATTGAACTAATTCACAAAATGTTTAATTAAAAAATTGATTAGAAATATTGTATTTCAATATAACATTGATTAATTAATGAGAAAAATGTACTCTAAATGATTTAAATAAATTTTTCAATGATTATTATATAATTATTAAATTATTTTGAGTAATTTAATTATGTACCGTTAAAAACTATTGAGTTTTCTAAAACATATGAATTTGGAAGAAAGAAAAAAAAGAACATAGTGATTAGTATCATACAAAGATAATATGTGTTAATAAGTAAAATATTATTAATCGTAACAGAAGTTCATTACATATCCAGTAACTACAGAATTATTCTAAGGAAAGAGTAAGATTTGAATAGAGATAAGCATTTTATCTTATCTAACATTAATCAGCTAAATTTATCTGTGTTAATGTTTAAACGGAAAGTGAAAACTAGTACTCAGTGATTGATACCCCTGTAGAGTAATTAATTAGAGTATGATCCTTTAACAGATATAAAGATATCATATATTTACAAATACTGAAATGCGTATTGCTAATCCAACGATCTTTAATAAAAGTGAATTATAAATCTATGCAATATTCAAACATTTGTTACAGAAACCCATATGCTGAATGGAGGAATAGTCAAAGTCAGTTTAATTATTAACAGTAAAGAAATACAAATACCTGGAGTCCACAATTTACTTAAAAAGATTAATTATTTAAATAATGCTTTATGAAACTTTTATGGGATGAAATTAGATGATAATCTTTATAGTGAAAGGTTGGATTAAATAAAGATAACCTGTCCACAAAGATTGTGACAGTTCATTTTATCTGACATATCAAAGTAATTAACATTTCGTTTGAAGATTTGGACTAATATCTTTTAATATTTTAGTAATCTATCGTAATATCTAAACCGTTCATGTTTCCAGCATGATCTGCTATAAATCACATGTAAGACATAAATTTGTTTTCATTTTCAAGGATCCTTGTAGCATAATATAGAATGAAGTCCCGTGAATCCCTGAAAATTGAGCAGTTAATTCTTCTCATTTTAATAAGTACTTAGTAAGTTTGCTTTACAATAACATTAACTATTATAGTCTATTTGCACATCCTCTAAATTTATGCTTTTTAAGCCACATAGTTACTACTAAATGAATGAGTCATTTTAAGTTGATTGATTTGTTTGGTCATTTTAAGGTACGTATTATGTGTTATTTGTTGTTGTTAGCGCGTTTTTCCTGATTGTAGTTAAACAACTAGTGAAAACCAGGAAATACTAGACGACTGTTTCATCCTAGAGTGGGATTACTTAGCTGTGCGCATCTATCATCTCTTCAGGACTTCCAACCCAAGATATTCACATCTACAGCAAGAACCTAATAGTAAATCTACTGAGTCAGGTTCTAATGGTTTATGTGTCCAACTTTAGTCAATCTGCGATGTCGCGAAATAAGCCGTTATTTCTGTTGGTGGATAAGTGCCTCACACCCGACATGTCTAACTTCCAGTAGCCACAAAGTATCATCAGATCTCCTGGAATTACATCTTGAAATCCGTCACTAAATAACACGTTAATATTCTTTTTTGGTATAAGGTGCATGTGGAAATTATTGAATCTTCATAGTTTACATCATGATTTGATCTTAGCTAGACAATCAATTTTGTGTCAAATAAAATACATTTTGAAACTTTCCATTTGAAATAGAGTCCATTTCAGCTACATAGTTTAGTCAGTCATGAGTTTAAGACTGTGAATCCACATCTTCATTTCAGCCCATATTTTGAGTACGAACGTTTTTACTCAATGACTGAGTGTATTAAATACTGATTATTTCTCATACTCCAGACTTGCAAAATAGCTAGTCATCTCATCGACCTCCATATAATCTGGTATATGGAAAGTAATTGTGATCAACGTTTAACATTCGTTTTCTATTTAAAGAAGTTAGCTTGATGCTAATGACTGGAATGAAAAGGCGAATTAACCTCCGAGAACATTAAATCATATGCAAACTAACTAGATCAATATTTTTGATAAAAAAGACAGCGGATTTATTGTTTTCTCATCGGTTTCATCACCTCCTAGGTCAGTGAGACAGATCTTATTAACTGCTTAGTAAGTATAGACAGAATGTGATAAGCATGAATATTGTTATCACTTTTAATGGATCAGATTTCACACAACTCTTGACTTGATAGTAAAAACTAAGCATACAAGTGTATTTTTCATCAGTCTAAAATATCGCTGATTTTGTTAATAGGTAATATGCAGCTTGCTGATTAAAATGTCCCGTCAATCCACAATCAGTGAATATATGTGTGCACATGCCGTTGTGTTCAATAACGAAGAATTACCACTCGAAATAAAGTGAAAGGTGGGTGATAATTTAACTAACGGGAAACCAAACAATCACTACTGAGGAGTCCCATACTAGGACGAGACGGCCGTCTAATGTTTCCAGGTTTTCAATGGTGATCCAACACTGACCGGTTCACAATCTAAATAAAACATAACGTCCACAACCCTATAATGATATTATTAAAAATGTCTTTAAAGAACGTTTATTTGTAAATCCAATTTTATTCTAAGTTACTCATAATTATGATGAACATTCTTTTAATGTCAAGAACTTGAAAGAGGTTGGTTGTGAACTCTCAAATTAGGTTTCCTATTGTTTAGGATTTTTAATCAAGGCGAATTAATAATCCTTGAGAAACTGTATCCCTTCTTGGGATTCAGATTTATTTCACAGTAAAAAATATTAATGGACAGCTATCAGACCGATAGCTTGACCGTAAAAGAAAGTCAAGAGGGCCATAACCTTGAAGTCATTAGTATTTATTTAAAGACACCATATACTATTTATCAATGAGTTTTAGACAGTGCACAAGTTAGGTTTATGAATTTCTGTTATGAACAGCTCTACAACAAAACAATTTAACACCCCCTCCATTTGCCAAAGGGCTAGTTATGGTATTCTACTATTAATTACAAAATGGAACGTAGCTTCATAATTATTGTTAATTTCAGGGTTGAATAAAATTGCTATTCAATACCCTATGGTTCTTCAAGACTGAACGTTTGTTTTAAACCATAAAATCGTGAAATACTAAAATGTACACTAACTCACTCACTTATTCGCTATTTGTATCATTTACCCGTGATTCTGAGCTTCTCCTTGGATTTGATTCATCTTGACAAAGCAACTTAACACAAACAGCTCCAGCATCATATAATGTAGGATAGATTGATTTCAATCCAGGACAGACATACCAGTCACATGCAGATAAACATTTGAATGGAGTTGGATCTACAAACAAACGCGGATTCATTTAACATTTATCCTTAGTATTAAGTGTGAATAGATGAGTACAAAGATTTTATTTAAATGATAACTTTTAATATGTTGACGTTCAAATAGCCCTGAGAAAAACGTTACTCGAAACGTCTTCATGTTACTAATGTTGTTCTCCAATTGAAATATTCAACACAAACAGATGAGTTATTTTAATATTACAAAATAATTCATTGATGATCCTAATTAAGAATGACGAACAAATCAATCAAGCTTCCCGATTAAACTTGATCACTGATTGTTTGTGTGGTATATCCACAATCAATTTGTTCTTTTTGTCATTAATGGGAAGGCACTTTTGAGTTTAAAGTACTTTTTAGAAAGTGTCGACAAAACACAACGACATTGTGTTTTCTCAAGAAAAATCTATTAGGATGACAGTCTTCAAAGACGACCACTAGCATACTGCTTGTGATATATTTAAAAATTACCTGGAATGGTTAATTCAAGATATAAGATCTTTGAATAACCTATCCATCGAAATAACAAAGTGACGTTTGTGACAAATTAAAGAAACAACTCAACTGTAAAACAATTTACTAACGATTAAAAATAAAATTTACTATTTCATTTACTCTCTTTGGAGAATTAAATTGAAATAAACAAGTTAAAGGTAGCTGTTAGCTTGTCTTGATTGTCAATATCATCTTATTTTTTGTTGTCTAATTTTATAAATGATACTATTCGTGAATCAATTGGATGCCAAATCAATGTCAAAGGTTTGGACGTTTGTTACGCTACCTAAAGGTGTTGGATTCGATACTCGGGGAGATCACTGACGTTCATTGCTTCCTAGTCTCGAGTGATTAATCCATATTTGTTCTCATTTTTGTTAATTTTACTTAATATTGACAAATTATTATTTTTTGATCAAAAAAACGAAGAATAAAGACACACCATGGTTGTTTGAATTTTAACAATTATTTCGGATTTCCGATAAAACGTCGATTTTACTACGGTTTACCGAAACAACTGCCATAAAAAGACTCAAAACGAGTTGATGCATCCAGAAACATTCATTTGTTAGTCTTGCCTTGCTCCTAGTGAACTCATTCACAAATTTCATGCAATTGGTTCCCTTTATGAATTTAAATAGAGCAAGAATAAACATGGATGCAGAATAGTATGAATTCATATTATTTCGAGGTTTCTCGTCAGCTGCTTACAAACCAAAATTGTGATAGAATTTTTACATGGAGATAGTGTGAAACAAGTGACATAAATGAGTGTAAATAACGTGATTACAATAATAACTATATATATATATGCTAGAAACAGGTCAGAGGTCAAAAGAGGGGGGTTAATCCAGGGTGGGTGGTTTAATAATTTAGTGAAGTACATAAATTGTGTGATAATTGTAGAGATTAATGGAATTAAATAATGATAAGGTAGATTACGTAATAATAATTAAATAGGGTTTGGAAAGTTAAGATGATTTAAGAGGATCAGGTGACGGAAATGTGTGAATAAAATTTATTTTATTTTAAGAATTCGGTAATAGGGGGGGATATAAATGATCTTAGAATAAGTAAATGAATAAAATAACCAAAACACAAAACAAACAGAAACAAAAGGATTACCAGGGTAGTGATAAGTTTATTAAAGTCTCTTTTTGGATGCATAAGTCCCTCGCAGCGTCAAGTTCAATCACAGAATTAATTCCGCTTTAAAAGTGACCTACCCGGCAGCCAAACTGACTACGTTATGGAAAACATACTGCTCACTGAAACAAACGAAAATCGACAAGTCCTCTCCCCTCAGTTGCTCCAACTGCATTTACCAATTCACATGTACGTGCCGTAGCACATACATTGGAAGAACTGAGAGAAGAGTACAGGTTCGCATTTCTGAGCATATTCCGAAGAACTTGACGCTGCGAGGGACTAAAGCTTTTAACAGTGCAATAGCTCGGCATCTACTTGACACCGAGCATACCGTCGATATTATGGGCGCGTTTAAAATTATCAATAGACAAAGAACTACTACCACTCTCCGCTTTGCTGAAGCCATTGCAATTAAGAAACTGAAACCGGACTTATGCATCCAAAAAGAGACTTTAATAAACTTATCACTACCCTGGTAATCCTTTTGTTTCTGTTTGTTTTGTGTTTTGGTTATTTTATTCATTTACTTATTCTAAGATCATTTATATCCCCCCCTATTACCGAATTCTTAAAATAAAATAAATTTTATTCACACATTTCCGTCACCTGATCCTCTTAAATCATCTTAACTTTCCAAACCCTATTTAATTATTATTACGTAATCTACCTTATCATTATTTAATTCCATTAATCTCTACAATTATCACACAATTTATGTACTTCACTAAATTATTAAACCACCCACCCTGGATTAACCCCCCTCTTTTGACCTCTGACCTGTTTCTAGCATATATATATATAGTTATTATTGTAATCACGTTATTTACACTCATTTATGTCACTTGTTTCACACTATCTCCATGTAAAAATTCTATCACAATTTTGGTTTGTAAGCAGCTGACGAGAAACCTCGAAATAATATGAATTCATACTATTCTGCATCCATGTTTATTCTTGCTCATTCACAAATGTCTGCCATGGGATTATTCTTTTCATGAGATAAATTATTCATTTTCAATTCTTATCTGATATGTGTTTATTGGTTAACTCGTTTAAGAGTTACGTAAATTTAAGACTAATATATTATCCCTGGATAATTGTGTTTTCATATTCTTGGCCGTTTATTCTAGAATATTCTTACACATTCAACTTAAAAATATTCACATCATTTAGCACATAAACATCTCTTAACATTTTTTTCATACTTATTGCTCTTTTAATTCATCCTCGTCGACGAGACCTCTGCTGACGTTATGATATAAAGTGTGTATACTGACTTTGAATGATTCATATTATTATGTTTAGGTATTAAGCAACTGATGGAGAACCGTGAAATATGTAATTCACGTTATTCTGCTAAATTGATTGTTAGTGCTTCAGTTAAATTAGGTTAAAACAAACAACTAAACATGACATTAAAACGAATCATCTTTTTTGTCATAAAACAATAAACAGTTGAAAAAAATTATAGTGATAACATCAAAGGTTACGAATCTTTAATCAATGAAATAAACGATAGACTTTGAGAGTTGAATTTCATTCTACAAAGTTTTAGAGCGGAAAAGATCGTTATCAAATTAAATAGATATCAAACCGTTGAAAATGAAAGACTAATTACATGTTTAAGGAAACATTACTACAACGACTGATTGTACATTAAAGTGTAGAATAACTTGTTAGGAATACATTTCACAAAGGTGATATCGAAATCTGCTTGGTAGTATTGATGGAAAGTTTATTTGATACTGAGTGGTACAAGCTATTCAGAAAAACTTGGTACAAACTAAACGATGGTCAAGATTCAGCCATGAGTTTTAAAATATGTTTGTTATTTTCTTGGAAAAATCTATTATCTAAAGTTTAATGGAAAAAAGCGCAAGATCTCATCGTTCCCTAAATTGATTTGTAGTATTTTTTTAATTAACTGTATTAGTCTTTTTTCTGGTAAATAAACAATTAAAAGGGATAACATACACGTATATAATCTGTACGTTAAGAGAATAATATTATCTTATCTCGAACAAATATAGGCAAAAATCTTAATTGTCTGAATAAAATATATAAATGTTTTATCGGAAACGCTAACATTACCGTCTTCGATATCAATTAGTAGAGTTCAGGAACATTTTGTTTCTATACATCAAAAAACAAAGACAGACTAAACATCATATACAACAGAAATTGAGGCAACTTCTTCAAACACTTCACACGACAATGTGACTCCCCTTTCCATCTACCTCTACATGAACATCAGTTAGGTGTTAAACATCACAACATAGCTTCACTTGCAACAATGCATGTAGACAATTATCGACATGCCTTCGATTGGGGAAAAGTTGAAATATTGAACAGTGGACACAGAAACAAAACAAGAGGATTTTTACAACTCCAACATTCTGGCCACAGATCGATAACCAGATACATGGAAATCGACTCAGTCTATCGAACAATAAAGAAGACGATAAACACCTGAAAGATCAGTTATCAGATGATAGGTGAAAACGACCAAGATAAACATTCGAATAACCACCACACATCAATGAGAAGCGACCAATGAAATTGCAGGTCTGACGATTGTGGAAAATTTCTAATAATTTACGTCTTACTGGAGTGTGTGTTGATGAAAGCTAGGCTATTCAACCATCTAGCTCAAAGAACAAAACACCTTGAAAATTATGAAAATTTAACAAGTCATCATGCAAAAAGAGTAAGAAATACTTTTACCTCCACACAGAATCACAAAAAGATTGTTTTTATACAAATTTCGTTGTATTTCAGTGAGTGCAGCAGCCCCAACTGGATCAATGTGAGTAATTCCAGATATGTCCAACAAAAGAAATCGTCGTAATTTTTCCCCATCATGCTTCATTAGAAAGTCATGCAGGTCAACATGTAATGAAGGTAGATTTGGTTCAGTTTGATGATGAGACAAATTACATCTTTCTGTCCTGAGTATCTGAAATGATTTCGTTACATTCAAATTTAGGTGAAGAATGGGGAAGTGTAAAACAGAAAACAAAAATAGAAGTCTAAATTGTATATGAACAATCATCGAGTAACTGTATAAGACATTTTATTTATAATATCAATAACTAAACTCAGTTTATTCTCAATCTTATACCTGATTACAACTATACCCGCAAAGATTCTACGGTTACACGTTGTACCAAACACGGTTTAGGAGGAGTTTAGGACGTAAGGTTAGCAACCACATCCACTAGAATACAAACTTATAAAAAACACGCTAATCACAAAATACTATTTAAACCTTTTGAACTCTGTCTTAGGAGTCAAACGGTCTTCATATAAAAGAGCTATGAAGCTATATGATGAAATCTGAGATTCTTCAGATATCATGAAGCCCATGCCTATTTCCACAACTAGAGCAGCAATTAACATAGATAATTGGAATGTCAGCATTATGTGCGAGACCAGCATGACCAATAAAACAACTGCAGAAATGAGGAGATACAACCTGACGGTGCATGGAAAAAGTGAAATCGATTGGAACAAATCTGGATAGCAAATATTAGATTCAGGAGAGTTTCTGTTGTACTCTGATCATGAAGAAGAGAAAGATGCTACGCATACACAGAGAGTTGTACTGATGATATCGAACGAAGCATGTATAGCGCTTATAGGATGGGAATCTCATGTATCCACAATCATCAAATCGTTATTCAAAACAGAGTAGGAGGAGATCACAATGAATCTTGTCGATTGCTATACACTCAACAATGACAGCAACGAAGATGATAAAGATCAGTTAAATGAGAAACTGAATTAGATTGGAAAGAAGTTTTCTGAAAATAAATCTCAAATAGGAATATTTTTGTCACTAAATGCGGGCTTGGTGAAATGGTGGCCTGGAAATCTGTCAAATCATTAATCTAAATTTTTATGTACAAAATGTTGACATCATGAAAGACGAATTCCTGTAATGTTTTCTTTCACATGTTCATTGATAATCAAACACATAACATGACTTAAAGAATCGTGATACATCGATTATAGGAAGCAAACATTGTATGAGTAGTAATATAAGCCATATTATTGTTTTCGAAATGGTGATTTTGTCTGATGAAATTTGTGAATGTTTGTTCCATGAGACTATTAGATTTTTGCATCGTTCCTGAATGTATTTACAATTTTGTATAATATTATGAGTTGGAAAACATTAATATGGGTTAATTATTTAGCTAACAAATTCATATTTAACACTTTAAATGTATAGAAACGTAAGCGGTTGGTTATAAGCTGAACTTCAGTGAATGAAATAGTCATTTACGCAAATGTCCAGTTATGATAATTAAAACTTGAATGGTTCACTTATATATTTTATATCATATGAGAATAAATGTTCAGTACAGTTTACCATTACATACATCTATTTAATTATAAAATCTATAAAATCTAACATTTATTGGCAGCATGTCATATTTTCTGTCAATATCTGACCATGTTTTCCGAAGATAAGAAATTTCACTGTTGAACTGCCTTATTGTGTACTCTACGTTATTTCGTATATGAATTGTATTGCAACGCACTCTATGATAGTAAAGGCTATGGTATAGAACCTCATAGGTGAAAGCAACTTTTTCCAGATTTTAAATCTGCCTTGTTGAAAAAGTGACAACCGGCACGAAACCTATCGCTAGAACATCTAATCCTTTCCCTTCAACCGCTTCACATATACGTTTTAACATTACTTGAAAATGATAATAATTTTTTTTAGAAAAACATTTGTAAACAATTACTCACATCACTTGATTTACTGACAACATTACTATTTCTCAATAAGTAATTATCATCGGATTTTGTTCCATTTCTCTCATTTAAAATTTTCGAAAGTTCATAAATATTATTCTTACTGTCTTTTGTATTCACAGATGCTTCATTTAATTGGCAATGATTGTGATATCCATCTTGTATTTTATCATTAATTCCATTGTGATGACTTAATACATTATTATTAACATAATTGAAATCGTCATCTAACATCATATTATTAATTGTCTTGTAAATGCGATTTGTGAAGTTTTCAGCTGATGAAAAGTTTAATGAACCTAGAACACGTATTGCTTTGATCGATGACAATAGATAATCAGATTGAGTTTTATCTATTTGCGTTTTGGTTAATAGCTTGAGAAAAGGAAAATTAATAATATCCAATAGTATATACATAAAACCCGCAAAGAGTTTTAAGACAGAAATTGAAAATACTTTCTTAGATTTTAATTGGGATCATGAACTGATTAATATTGGATCACTATTGAAAACCTGGAAGCATCGATCGGTCGTTTCGTCCGAATATGGAACACCTTAACAGAGCGCTTCCACGATCCTGCACTCAGTAGTTTTACCCAGGACCTTTGGTCCCACACGCGAACGCTTAAACTATAGACCACTGAGCCAGCATCCAGCGGTGGTAATGTTTAACTTCAACCAATCCACGATATTTCGCGGTCGTCCTCCATTATCTTCAGTAACTGCCTCACAAGGTCCTGGGTTCGAATGCAGAGTGCGGGATCGTGGATTTGCACTACTGAGGATTCCGATACTAATACGAAACGAGCGTCCACTGTTTCTAGGTTTTCAATGTTGGTCTAACATTGACTAATTCATGATCTCAATTAAAAACTCAACAATCTCCATGATTCTTTAGTGGTGATTTCTTAGATATCTCATAAGTATGTTATATTATTTTTAAATAGTTATCGTTCATTGAAGTTTAGTGACCCTAATCTGGCTCCATTTAGATTGTATGATGATAGTTATCGAAAAATACATGCTGTCCATCCCCGCATACAATTATTAACTTAACTCGAGTTAGTGAATAACGGAATTAAATAAGCCAGTTGCGAGGATAGATTGTATATACGTATATTTCATACAGACAACCAGGGAAACTCAGGGAAGGAAGCGAAGAGAAACGAAACGAAACGAAGTAACGCCCAGATGAGAAGGCAAATGAGCCAACTCGATTTGATCAAGCGTAACTCAATATTTATAGTCAGACCAAAAATAAATTACTGACATGTGATGAATAGGGTTAGTAATCAACACATACAGTCATATAAAAACAGTCAGGGTTAATAAAAGAATAATCAACAAGGTCAAAATGCGGCTTGAGAAGAATGAATAAATTGGTCTGTTCAGAAGCTAGAGTAACCTATGTAAGCTTGACATAGAACCAGCCATTACAGAAGGTCATTTACATCATGAACTTGACATTATTCAAAGACTTAATAAGAACTGTTGATTACTAAAAAGCTGAACACTAATAGTTTGAGATTTCTCATACTCTTAGAACATTCAAACGTGTCATTGGTCACGATATCTTTAAACCACTGGACTGACATCCAGCAGTGCATATTTTAAACCACGATGTATTCGTGTCAGTTCTATCTTCATATGTCATCGACGATCAACTATTTATCGATTCGAACAACTAGAAAGTCAGTTACTGCTTCAATTCTCAAGCGATAGTAAACCTCGATAAAAAGTAGTTATTCAAATTTTATATAGATCTCGACAGTGTATTAAAAATTAACCACGGTTTAGTCAGGTTATGACGGTAACAATTCAAGGGGCTACGATAAGTTACGGAGTACCATTACTCAACTTTAAAAGTATACACTATTCTAAAACAACTGATAAATACGCCTCTCAACTAAGTGACTTTCTTTTGCGTAGTACATAGTGAAAGGTAAGTCATTAAAAAATTCGTAAACCAGTAAATATATTGGTAGGAAAAATAATACATGATAGATAAACGGACATGTATGATATTCTATTTGTGGATGTTGTTTCCTTAGAAAAAAAAACATTTAATCGATTGGCTTTTTAGACTTTTCTCTTCGATTTATTTTGGGCGTTCCCCTCCTATTATTTTTGTATTTTGTTGTTTGTTAAGAAAAATATTTTTGCATATACAGAAAATACTATTGCGAAATAAGTTACAAACAAATGAATTCAAGAACGGAATATTTGGATGATTTGTTCAGCATGAAATCCATTTTCGTCATATGCGTTGGCCAAATCCAGCACGGGGATTATGGGTGTATAGAAGAATATTCTTTTCAATAAAATTTTTTCAGGTTCTACAAATATCTATCCAAATTATTAACCCCAAAAAGTGGCCAGGTTTAGGGCAAAGTGCAATGTTTGAAGTTATAGCATGTTAAACAGTTTAAAATTATTAATATTGAAATAGCTCATATGCAACGTTAACTTGAATCAGCTTATATATTCAGTGAAATTTTAGAATCCATGATCGGGATAAATATTGGTCAGAAAAGGTGAGAGGGATAATAGTCCAATTACAAACAGGATCAAATGTTTAAAAGACTATAATGTGTAAAAACTATACATAATTTTAGTAAGGAATAATAAAGTCGGATGAATGCCATGTAAATAAGTCATGTATTAGGGAGACTAATAATGATTTCGAACCAAAAATAATAACGAAAATAATAATAATAATATAAAAACATGAAAATAAAGATAACAGACATTATTATATTTTAATAGTTTAATTCATGAGTCGATCTAGGCTAGACCAGCATTAAAAACCTGGGAGCACTGAAAAGGCCGTTTCGTCCTAGTTCCAAGATGGATTTTCTAGAGTTCTAGTGAGAAGCCATGACTAGTGAAGTCCGATCCGTGTTGGGTGTGAAACAATTATCCAATTCAGATAACGGATAAAGGGTTGAGCAAGATCATAGATCGATTGAAGTTAGACATTAACACCGTTAAATGCCGACTCATTGGTCTAGAGGTTAAGCATTTGACTGAAAAGTCAAAGTTTTAATACACAACTTCCTAGCTCGCTTCATCTTTCCGTCTTCACTGTTTAAGTTGTGTGCATCACCCAGAGTTTCTACTCAATTATCAGTTCATTTCATAGGTGAATGCTGACTATTACATTTAATTCTCACCAAAGGTTTTATTTCAGGCATGGAGATTTCTCCCCCAACTGTTTTCTATGAATATAGGACTATAGTACAGTACAATATACAAGACTGAAAGCATAAACATATTAAACTAAGAGCTTGAAAGGAAATATCGAACGTAAATTATCTACCAATAAGCAACACTCATCCGCTTAGTGGACAGATAAATTACCTACAGTGTTGTTTAAAACACGTTAAATGAACGTTGAAAATATAACGAACAACCCCAGCCGAAAGTGACGTTAGTATTGGTTTACTTCTCATATTTTGTTTACTTGAAGGCATATATAATAGATTTAAACAACTTGATCGTCAATAATTCGATCTATCAGACATGAATAGCACCAAAAAACGTTATTGGGTGATCACTGAATAGTAATCAATGATGTTTTTGTTTAATCCTTATTATTCATCGATTTCTATCAATCAAGTTATGGTTACAGCTCTAATTGGCTTAACACTATGGTCTGAACAAAAATGGCATGATTTTGGGCTATGGTTTAGTAGAGATTTATTTAATTTACAGATCGTATTCGTCATTTGGAGTACCACTGAAACTAAGACACACTAGATAGCTGTGACGTTCTAACTGAAACTCTTCAAAAAAGAACATCTATGAATATTAACTACAAATTAAGCTGACTAAGCTATAATAATTAGGTCGTTGTGACTTACCTCAAAATGTTCCTAAAGTTCTAATAAAAAGTCAGAACCGATGGGATTGAAGTAGTTGTCACCAACAGCATTGTATGATCGTCCCACTGTATTCCATATTGATTGGATTAAATATTGTACTCCTGGACGTTAAATCAGTCCCAACAGTTTAATGCTCATCACGAGGCTTTAAATTATTAAACCCTATCCCCAGTGGGGTTGTGGATACCCATTGTGGAGAAGTTCCGTACTAGATCAATGCAGTTGTCTAGTGCTCTTTGGTTTTTAATGGTACCCCAATTATGAAAAATCTGTGATGAATACTACTTAGAAACATGACATTAGTTACTATTCAGTGAATAATCCCCATAAATATTTCTTTCCTGCAGGAGAATAAAAAGCGCTAGTTATTTGGATAACTACGCCATAAATTTCCGTAACTTAAATTTGTTGGGGAAAATATGTATAACAGTCACCGAAATCGAGTATTTGCGAAAGTATCAGTGAACTGACGTAACATTGAATTAGAAATTTAATCATAATAGATGTTTTTAAAAATGCACAACAAATTATAAGTTGATGAGACTGTTAAAAAATACTAACCACGCGACTACATATGGAAAATGCATTATAATATACTGATGAAACACAAAAAGAAAGCAACTATTTTTCGTTACGTGAATGATAAATTATTCTTAGGAAAACACTAAACTACTCACAATGCTGGCATACGTAATGTGATGTATTGTATTTGTAAAGATCCAAAAAACCAATAAAAAATGAATTAAAACTTCATCCCATTGCACAAGTCAGTGGCTATCAGGACTCATTTGCTGAGTGAATAACGTGATGGCGTTTGAAGCGAACGGTACTGAGCTCGAGTCCCAGAGTGAACATCAACTCTAAAACGTAGGTAAATCCAGCTGAATAGGCTCGAATAGGACAAAACACGTGTCCTGAGTTCCACTGCTGACCACCATCCATCTGTATTTATTATGCTCGTGACTTAAGTCAATATCAAAGCAATCCGCGCAAGGTGAGCATATTCCAATAACAGACTGATTGATTTCAGTCCTAAACATCAATAGGATGATTCAAACAACCAATACAAAATAAATTATTAACAATTTAGCTTACTTCATAATGTTTATGAACATAAAGTTCTGTGCCTGAGATGTTGCACAATTCCAGTAGTTTGATGCTTCGCTGTCTTTCCGTTAATACAATAAGACAAGAGATTAGACCAACTAACAGACCGTAAGTTACATCAAGTATGATAGTGCCCAAAAATGTTACAGTGAATAGAAACTGTTCAGAGAAAAAAAGATTGAACGTCCATAAAATAATGTGTTATCTGTCTTAATTTCATTTTGTAAGCAATTTAAATGTTGCACTTATTGTTTGTTAAATACACAATGTCAATCAACACGACATAAAGCTATCAAATTAATTATCTTTTGTAACCTGAGTGATTATTATAATTGTTAGTATGAGATAATGGATAATATTGTAGCTCATGATAAGGATTCTGGTGGTGTTCTGTTCGCTGAGCTGAATTTCTTGATCTTGGGTTAATCATTGTCTTTCCCGAGAACATTATCACACACTCCAGTAAGACGTAAATTATTAGAAATTTTCCACAATCGTCAGACCTGCAATTTCATTGGTCGCTTCTCATTGATGTGTGGTGGTTATTCGAATGTTTATCTTGGTCGTTTTCACCTATCATCTGATAACTGATCTTTCAGGTGTTTATCGTCTTCTTTATTGTTCGATAGACTGAGTCGATTTCCATGTATCTGGTTATCGATCTGTGGCCAGAATGTTGGAGTTGTAAAAATCCTCTTGTTTTGTTTCTGTGTCCACTGTCCAATATTTCGACTTTTCCCCAATCGAAGGCATGTCGATAATTGTCTACATGCATTGTTGCAAGTGAAGCTATGTTGTGATGTTTAACACCTAACTGATGTTCATGTAGAGGTAGATGGAAAGGGGAGTCACATTGTCGTGTGAAGTGTTTGAAGAAGTTGCCTCAATTTCTGTTGTATATGATGTTTAGTCTGTCTTTGTTCTTGTTTCCTTCGGTCTGCATATTGACCCCACCAAGAATCGAACCTAAATTTCCCAGCCCTAGCAGCTAGAGCTTAACTTTTAGCTCATTGAGTCGAGACTCAGTGCTCTACACATCAAACTTTAATCTGTTATCTGCATTATGTAACCATATTCTAATGCCACTGATAGACAACTGTCCCATATCTGAATTTTATTGATCACAGCTTTTACTGAAACTACAAGAATAATCACACAATTTATTTACTAATGTGTACATTATTACTATTACTAAAGACGGTTTGTAAAGATTTCGACTCATATGAACTAAATTGATAACATAAAAAGAAACATCTTTTTGACTAACCACTTATTGTAGTTTAATAGTCATTCATTTCACTTTTCTACACATTTATAAATTTACAAGAATGAACAAGTCTATCAAAAGTAAATTATTTGTTAAATCAACTAAGCTTTATATGTACATATCAATAAAAGACAATGTTGTGTTACTTACAAAATCTGGTTTATAAGTATTCCATAGATATGGTAGTTTCTTCGGTTGTGTCAAGATATTTTTCAATGCTACCACAATTATAGCAGATAAAATACACTGGAAAGAAAAGTACAATCATGAATAATGATCCAATGCTTTTTTATAGTTTATTTAGGTGTTTACTTTTTGTTTTTAAGTATACAATACCTCAGTGACCAGTTTCTCATAGGATAACTGATGTCGAAATATTGTAGAAATCTCCAGTGCAACAACAGTTTAGACAATGACTAGCAGTGGAATCTAAAAATCTGAATTTCGTATCATTTGGGATACATGAGATTGTTTTACGGGAATCTCATTGTGCATGTTCCTTTAGAGTTTTAAGCATTGTAAAATTCACTTTAAATGCCAAGGAGTTGTGCACTACGCAGTAGAATCACGATACTCATCGGATTATTTAGTGAATATTATATTTCAATATTCATCAAGGCACTGCTTTCATACAAGTATATACGACTGACAAGTCTCAAATAAAAGAAACGAATTTTTCTGGATTCCATTGTCACAATACAAAACCTTTTTTTACTGAGTTGAATACATTATTGAAATAATCAGTATTTAGTCCCAACTGTTTTTGGAGATAAATATTTCAGTCTACTTGCAATAATGTAAATCAATGAAGTGTGAAGTTGACTAATATGAAAGTCAAAATTGAAGTATCCCATTCGTGTAAAAAGTGACTTGTTATCAAGCATCTCATGTGAAAAAGTTTTTATTCAACAACTATTGTTCTTTAAAACAACTAGTCCCTTTGATATTAGTCCCTTTGATCATTATCGAAAACTATTGTTCTGATCGTGTGTTATGAAACATTTATGCTATAAGCAAATAATATATGTATACACTGTGATATTTTATAGATAACAACAGCAAACCTTTCAAGATTATTCATGTTTCATAAGTGATTTACTACTTTGATAAAATATCCCAAAGAATTTCGAATTTAATTTAATGAATTGTATCCATGAAATAGATTATCTTCTGGAAAACTCTTCGAAAATGAACAATTCTCAATAATTTAACTGTTGTATATTTTTTAAGATAAGCTATGAAATGGTTGATAAGTCTGAATATCGCTTAAAAATTCTCATCATATTAAAACACAGATGCATGAATGAAGTATATTCTTTTCAACAATTTTTCTTCGAGTTCTATAATTATATATCCAAATTAATAATCCATAAAATTGGCCAGGTTTAAGGCAAAGGAAATCATTTAAAATTATAGAACATGAATTTAGGATTGTTTTTAACATAAAATAATTTTGAACTGAAATCGTCAGACATCACATCTAGTTCCGATCTCCGGTCAAGAGCTTGAACGTTTTGAAATCAAATCTGGTTGATTGCTGCTATCAGTTTAAGAACAGTAGATATAACCACAGAAGCATTTTAACTAAAAAACGTGATGCTATTAATGAATTTATTCATGACAAAAATTTGTTTATTACGAAACTTGGTAAAGGAAGGGGAACTATCTTACTTAACAAAAAGACTATATTGACAAGATGAAAAACATCTTGACTGGTCATCTAAAATGCCAAAAACCGAACTACTGAAAAGATCTCAGTGATATGACAGGGAATGAACTGATCAGATCTTTAAAAAGTCTCAGAGTACAACAAGTAATTCCGCCAAACATATGCGAAATAATTAAGCCGATATGTAACCATTTACTTAAGTTATACGAACTACTAAAGGTACACACGACCAATTTTGGATATGTACAATTATTCATAACATACTGTAGCAAAGTGGTTAGTGATCAATCACTCCGCAAACACCTAGTGAAGCATAGTATTAAGGATGTATTCTAGTTCGTCTACAAGACCGAAAACATAAACTCTAAAGGATAAACAATGATTTTCTTAGACGTAACGTCATTGTCTACAAACGTCTCACTCAGGAAGACTGTAGAATATATCTATGAACAACTCAGAGAACAGAGAGTACAGACTGCAATCCCTGTGGAGATAATCAAGCAATTTTTGCTAAAAATGTAAACTTCAAATTCAAAATATGTAGACAAATGGGTGATTCCACGATGAGTTCATCACTAGGTCCCATATTAGCTGACATTTTTCTCACCAAACTACGAAACGGTTCACTGGCACAGCAAACTGGAAAGTTTTCATTTTATTTCTGATATATGGACGATGCATTCATCCTTTTTAACGACCATGCCGACCTGATAGAAACACTCGAGTGATTTAATGAAGTTTATCCGAAAATAGAGGCAGAATAGTCTTTCTAGATGTTCTACTTACGAGGAGAATAGATGGGTCACCAAGAACAAACTTAAACAAGAAAACTACTTGGACTGGTCAATAAACAAATTTTCTTAGTTTTATCCCTTTACAATAAAAAATCAATCTGATTAAGATACTTCATTACAGAATTAAGACCATATGCTTCCTAGATACAGTTGAAGAGGAAACAAAGGCATTGTGCACTATCTTGAAAGAAAATAAATAAACATTTAACCGAGAAAAGAGAGCATAAGGATTCCCTAACTGTGAGCAAAAAGTCACTGTATATGCGCTTACAATTTAGAGGCAATGCATCCAGCAAAATGCTAAAACTAAGGTTGTACAGTGTAATACAAAGCCTTTTAATGCAGGTAAACTACAACTTTTTTTTCTACACATCCGATGATCACTTTGAGATTGAAATATAAATTACCTAAACTAGCCATTTCTTCCTGTATCTGTCAATTCAACTGCTCTTGTGTAGCGAGTTATATTGGCAGGCGTTCTAGGAATTTGTATTTTTAAGGTAAAAACGGGCTATACAGCCAACATGGAGCAATCGTTCACAATAACATATCGTGTTAACAGAAATCTGCCTAAATTCGTCAGAGTGAGATTCCTTCAGACAGCTGAAGCAATTGCTATTCGGATCAAAACGCGGGAGCTTTGCGTCCGGGAGAAATATTTCCAACCGCTCCTTTTACCCTGGCCAAATTCTGACCTAATTAGTTGATCATGTTTATGATGTGGTGAACTAATTCTATTAATGTTCATTTTCATAGCATAAACTTATCATTGTTATTAATATTATAATACCTGCCAATGTTTTTGCGAGATTTATTCTGCATCCACCCCATATCTACTAATCCTTGCCTAATTCGTATCATTTTACCTATTACGTAATTTTTGATTTGTAATTACATTATTCTCTCTCTCTGTGTCATATCCCATGTTACCCATATTTATTCTGATCATCATTTATCTCACAATTTTACTTGGCTGATTCAAGATAACACTTCATATTAGTCACTCAAACATTAACGATTTTATTTTATAACAGAAGGGGATTTTATGGAGATTTTAGTAATTTAATAGTTGAATTGATGTATCAATCAAAGCTAGACATTAACACCGTTGGATACCGACTTAGTGGTGTAGAGGTTAAGCGTTCGCGCACGAAACCGACAGGTACTGTGTTCATGAGTGCGCCCTGCTGAGGAGGCCCATACTGGGACGAAACAGTGTTCCAGGTCTTCCATGGTGGTCTAGCTTCGACTGACTACTATATTTTATATGACATACAATCCTTGATTCACATTCTATAATAAAACCAAACGGCGGTCCAGTGCTCCAGGTTTTCCATGATGGTCTAACACCGATCGATTCACGATCTCAATCGAAAACTTAAATGATGTACTTTGCCTTAAACCTGGCCAATTTTATGGATCATTAATTTTGGATATTTAATCATAGGATCTGAATAGAAATTATTGGAAAGAATATTCTTCGCTCATATACCTGAGTTCTAAATCGGAATATTTTAGTCTTTTCATGGTGATAGCCAGGTAACTGGTGTTTGATTACAAATAAGATTCAAATGGTACACTTAATTGGGTTACCTAGTGTTCAGTGATACAATGATGTTCTCGTGACTTACTGGTTGCCCGATCTACCGAGGCTGACCATTGGTTTTTTATGACATTTAGTGCTAGGGTTGAGTAAATAAAACAATATCATACAAGTCGTACGATTCGAATTAACTAGTTTGTACGTAAATGACCAATTTTGATTCCTTAAGTTATTTGACCGGTTTATCAGTGGGTGGTTTTGTCTTCTGAAATCTGTTTAGTTGACACTTACCGATCAAGTGTTTATGCACACACTATCATCTCGCACATCTAAGTCACCCGACTTATTTTATAAATCATTTAATCTGTTATAAAAACGAAACTTATTGTTTTGATAATCTTTAATGGGAAATCTATGGAAGTGATTTGATTCATAAATACTACCATCCAAACTTACTTCATGAAGCCTAATAACCCATGAACTTCTCTTTCACTCTTTGTCAGATAATGCGAAACTAAGAACCGATTACGAAGATTTATGGGTCAGTGTACTTTGTACTACTAAAGAAACTGAGTAGGACATCCAAACAAATGCAATAGCCCACAACTTACTGTTGAGAGGTGCTCCTTAAGTATTTCATCAACAAACCAACAAAATGTTTTTTTTAAGAGTTAAGCTGAATATTCGCGAATACATAAAGCAGAGTTGATCTGTTATCATATGTATACAAATAATAGCTTTCAGATAAACAACCACTGAAAATCAAGAAGTAGTTGATAGCTGTTTCATTATAGTATGTAAATCCTCATTAGTGCTCACCCAAGAACCGACTTATGGCAAACGCTTCCAATGGCTGATCTATCTGACTTCAATCAATTTACGAAAAGAGTCCCGGATTTTTAGTGCCCAGTGGAGTTCAGAAGAGTTGGATGTAATGCAGTTACTCACTAAAGACAATAGAAAGTAGTTGCTCAATATTATGAACATATTGAAGTAAGACACATTCATCACTGAGTGCAGATTTAGTAGTATAAAGGCTAGGCTGCTGAAAGTCCCGGATTCGTCTCTTTGTGGTAGGATCATGATTGTTCACTGCCGAAGAGTCAAATACCAAGACGAAACGGCTGTTAGGTGCATCCAGGCTTTTATTATTTATTTAACTTAGGCTGTTTCTTGATCATAATGACATTCAGTAATCTTCATAAATTCCCGTACTGGTTAGAACCATAGTGATGTCAACATTTTTAAGCTACATGGTAAAGTGTCTGTAATATTTAAGGCATTACTATTAACAAAGTACATGCTAAATACTCGAACTCACTGATGGAGTTGCTTCAAAATACGGGCCCAAAAATAACAGTACAAATACAATCAACAGTGAACTGAATATACCTGATAGCTGCAAAATAAAAGTAAGTAGATATTTACAGTTAAATTATCCTGAAGAGTATGATCTAAATTTGAAATGTTATTTGAAATACTCCACTCATTACGTTGCTACCATTAGTATTAAACATAAAAATAAATTCTCTAATAAAAGACGTATAAATTCATAAATTTATTTAGTAAACCTACTGATGACGGAGCATATATGTCAAAAAGCATTATACTTGGATTTTGAAATAAACTTTCAATGACGAGTGGTTGACGAAAACCTGTAGTAAATCTTGGATATCAATATTAAACTAATTGATACTAGTCATTATTGCCCATCTGCAGTTTTAAGAGATCTTATATTGTCTTTTGGATTTATAACGGTATCATTAAATCTCTAGGCCAGAGACGCCACCACTGTGCTTGTAAGGCTTCAACTGAATTCATAAAATATGTTTACACTGATCAGTCTTAGTTGGCTGTAGGTAATCAACAGGAAATCCAAGACCTTAGTTTAGTATTACTGACACTCGTCAGTAAGGCGTACACGCAGTCATGAAGGAACTGATGCTCCCTGTGAGATACGAACACACGTCATTTGGATTCACAGTTTGAGACCTACCATTGAGCTTCTATGGCAGTGACTGATCCTCTAAATAAATTGTCCATTAATAATTCATTTAGTAATCGATAACTTCATGTTTTGTGATTTCTAATTCAGATCAAATTATATGCGTCTAGTTAAAGTGTGGGCACTTTGCTAAATAATATAATATCACATTGCAGTTTGTCCAATAGTTGATCTTTTCAGCTTTTATATGTTAACCATGTAACTCCGTTAGAGGTCTTGATGAAATAAGATTTGTTTTTAAAAAAATTTCTTACATTACTAAAACAATCAGACTAAAATACATACAGACAAATAGAAAAATAAAAAAATGTTTTGTGGTCACGTTTTATGAGGAAAGAGAGAAAAGAAGGTAATGATAATGGAGAATGATGGAAAATGAATGAAAGAATTACTCACCGGTGTTCTGGTTTTTGTTCCCGCTAATACCATACTACGAGAAAGACTACCAGATTGAACGAAACAAGAGAAAAATGATGTGAATGTATTTATAATACCGAGTGATAAGATTTCCTGAAAGGGAAAAATTATATATATTCGAAGAAATTACAAACCAAGCGTGTATATGTAAGCGACTTAACCATACAATCTAACGAGTTATTATTATCTCGTCACGAATATGTGAACATGATGATAATAAAAATCTATGGTATAATTAGGTAACATAACTGTTATAAAATTATCAAACCGCTATTTTAACTAGACTAATAGGGATTCCTAGAGTAGTAAAATATCCCATTAAAATGTAACAGGAGAGGTTAAGTAAATAAGTAATTGAATGTAATGTCTACAACCATTGGTTATGATGATCACAAGTGGTCTACGCCTACCTATGAGGCTTAACTCAACGGTATGTGAATTCATGGGCCAATGACATGTCTTGTTTTGGTGCTTTACATATAAAGAAAATTACGAGTTCTCGTCTGAATCATTGTGATACTTAAATTACTCGAATACAAACAATATTAAATATACGACCAGTAATTATGTGTTTGTTTGACAAATGGTGTCCTTAAAATAAATCTCTATACCTTTTCAGCTTCAATTTCTAAAATTATTGATCAAATAGTATAAAAATTGTTCCGGAAACTACCTGTTGTGAGATAACAACTCACTGAAGACAATGGTGTACGGTGGCGCAACTTCGTGGATTGGTTGAAGTTAGACATTAACACCGTTGGATGCCGGCTCAGTGGTCTAGTGGTTAAGTGCTCGCGCGCGAAGCCAGTAGGTCCTGGGTTCGAGCCCCGCGTGGTGCGGGATCGTGGATGCGCACTGCTGAGGAGTCCCATACCAGGACGAAACGGCCGTCCAGTGCTTCCAGGTTTTCAATGGTGGTCTAGCTTCAACTGACTCATGATTTCAACTTGTGTAATACTGATAACTTTAACAGAAGGCTAGGTGTTGTTTCTTAAACTAATAAATAATTTTTTTGTAAAGGTTAGTATTTTCCCGTTTTTGATGTGATGTACCGAAACTGATCAGCCTCTACATGTTTATGTACATCCCAAGAGGATTGCTTTGATATTATCATATATTCACAGGATTTTATTAAAGCTAGTTAACAGCTAGGATCGGGATCCGGAATTCACGTTTATCTCATTCGGTACTCGTCAGGTGGACGTACCTGATTTCACTATGTTGTCTACACGTAATTGCTCAGTTTTGAAGTGCGTCTCTATCACAGACTAACATTGTGTTGTGAGAAACTCTTGAAAATTAGTGAATAAGCCAGTATTTAATTACATTTAAAAATGAAAACTTTAAAACAAGAATGAAACAGTTGTCTAGTGTTTTCTTGTGTAGAAAGCTAAACAATCAAATGAAAATCAGGCATTGATTGGTGAATAAATCAAGAGACGTATAAAACGAATTAAGTAGAGAGATTCTACTAAAAATATAGTAAATCCAGTCAATAATATAGATGAAAATAAGATCAATTGTCATCGAAATACAAGTCAGTGACTGAGGGATCATGGTTTGACAGTTATTCAATTCTTAACTGAAAGGCATCTAAAAATCCCAACTTTAACGTAGTTGTACACTTGGAAAGAAAAACATATAGATACCTGTAACTATGTGTGAAATCACATATTCTTAATATTATGTTTCGACTTACATGATTAAAATTAACTTTATTTCTGTACTTTAAAGAGAATAATTTCACTAAGGAAACCGACAGGAACGTACTAACAAATCCAATTAGAATAGCATCTGGAAGTAAATCTGGAATTATGCTCCAATGGGGTACTGTTACCTGTGGCATTCTATCAGTTGGGAGAGGGAGGAAATGAAAAACAATACCTAAGCGCACTATATTGTAGCAAATGGATACATTATATAGATTTTAAATGATTATAAGAACAAATTTGTAATGATCAAGTTGAACTGTTAGTGTAATGTAATTCGGGGAGTGATTGGAAACAAAGGAACGTTGAACAGTTGTTTCACTCCTGTATGAGATTCCTCAGAAGTACGAGGAGTCGTCAGAATACTACTTAAAAAAATCGACTGAACTTCAAAGATATCTCAACCACTTGATAACCTAACGATCACTGGTTACTAGTTTCATGATGAAATCCTCGAATTCTAGTGGGGTAGTCATGACCGAATGCGTTTAATCATCTAGGCGATAGGACTGTAATCACACTTAGTATTAAATAAGCATTAAGCTAAAATGTCAATCGATTGTAAGTTAAAACATATCGCATTGGTTATGAACTTAATCGTTTAACGTATTGTTTTCAACGTTAGATATAAAGTTCTTTCATTCTACTAATGGAGGTGTCTTAACAAGACTCTACCCAGGAGTCCCATACTAGGTCAAAACAGTTGTAAAGTGACTTATGGTTTTAAGTACAGCCTAAACTGATGTCTATCAATGGTAAATACCTTTAACAAGTTTGCACATCTGCACGAGTATATGTATAATTTGTAATATGAATTTTTCTTTAAATTACCTTTATGGTTGATATTGTTAATTTAGAATAAGTAATATTTCAGTGTTATCATTCTGATATTCTACTGCTACCTATATCTCACTTTGGTGAATACCTTCATTTCCATACACAGAAGTAATCACAGCAATGTTCAGCCGACTATACAGAACTTAAAGTTTAAAATTCTTCACTAAGTATTTGATCAACATCATGATTAGACTTAACAGACAGAACAGTGGATTTAGATTTTTGAGGGACTCGAGTTATTCCAAAATGTTTTCCTTACCAAGTAAATAAACAATTTCATTGATTGTTCCTTCCGTATATATATATATTGCGTTCATTGAACTGGATGGTTTGATCATGAAGCAATTATTGTTTTTCTAAATTTCATCAATGGCAAATCAGTTATATAACTCATTAATTATTAAAACATTCATTTTTCGGGAAATCGACCCTAGTTTGAAGATTTCAACGTACCAAGAGTAATCCAATTCATGAGCGTGTATCTTAAATAGAATACCTTGAGACATAGTAGTATGTAAAATTACGTATCAAGCCTTAAGTGATATGAATTTCTTTTAAATTGCCATATATCTGTTGGTTACACAAATTCGTAGGTCTGGAGAAGTACAAAACTAATTGAACACTGAATATAACTAGTTTCATTTAAATCCCTAATGTAAATCAGAAGTACTTTTCAGTCTGAAATGGTATATAGTGAAATTATTTCCGTATCTTTATTTGTATTTCACTCTGATGATAATAAAAACACACTGAAATTAGTAAGCTACATCATAGTTTAAGTATTTTCTTTTCATGCTCTTCCAAGTCTCTTAACTTCATTTACTAATCATATAGTAGTGAGCCATATTCAGTGTTTCAGAATTGTGTATTGAAGACTATGTAATTTTTGTTAACCTGATTATTGTGTCATCTACTCAGTATAATGTTACTTTTTGCGAGTCTAAAGAAACAGTTTCCAACCGTTCTAATACGGATTATGAACGCTATTAACAGGGTGCATGTAACCTATATAATGACCGTTATGTGTTGAGAGTTTTACGAACCCTCATAGTTGTTTTATTAAGGGCATTGAATCCATTCATATAACTCCAGAAGTTTTTATTTTCATATTTAAATTAATCTATGGAGTTGGTCGAAAATGAATGAAAATATTTCAAAATACAAAATCTCTTGTAGATTTATTATTGAATACATTCAACCATGTACTTACCCGCTCGCAATATATCCTACAATTGAAACATTCTTAGTAGAGTGTAAATTTAATGTACCAGAAATTATAGTGCCTAAAGCAACCTAATATGAGAGGTGGAAATGAATTGTGATTAGATTGCTTTGAAAGAAAACAGTAAACTAGCAAGCAATTGAGTAACAAATGTCGTTAATCAAAGTACATTGTACAAGAATATTTCAACGTACGTCTAGTTTACTGGAGTTTAGACAATCATCATCGTTCTCATTAGTTTAAAAATAGTCCAGTTCGTGTTCTAAGATTCATAATTGAAATTGAAATTTTTCTCAAAGATCTCAGCTATGTTGAAGTGATACAAAATTATCTCGATTATTTGCCACTGTTCGGATAATTAAAAAACTTTACGATGAGCTAGTAGTGGTTTTTAGTTTAAAGTATCTCTGGATCAAGTATTTATTACTTGCTTGCACTTACTTTCAGCTAATTAAGTCATTAGCAGATACATAAATTGAACATTGAATACCAAAGTGAAAATTGATTTTCTCTTATGTAAATGGTCATCTTTTCAACTTAAATACAGTTTTGTTCTGGAATAAAAATTAACTAAGGGAACAATAAAATTGCATATTCTTCCCCATTACTAGAGACCTCCTATCCTCCTACAATCTCAAACTAAATTGAACCCCAGTACCTCGAAGTGCTGAGAAGAGGAGTCGAAATGAGATTGAAAAACAAGGAAAACTACTTTTGGAAAAGTTATTTATGTTTTCAGTGTATTTTTAATTAAATTACGGTTCATATTTATTGCAGTAAGTACACGACCACCAAGACCGCCACATTGTTTTTCACAGCATAATTTCGATTTTAATTAATTTGGTATATAGTGCAATGTTAGTCCAATAATATCGATGACAGTCATTTCACTCGTGAGATATCAGAACTCCACTGGTCAAAATTTCTCACTGGGACTTTAAGAACATCTTGAATTGAATCGACTATCATTGTTTGAGTGGAGCGGCCTCATAGAGACTGATTTAATTTGTGTGTTGTATGAGTTACAGGACTTTACCATTAGTGTGGGTAAAATTTACAACTCCAGATCCATATTTTCAATCTTTCGCATTACTTCGAGGAGAAAAACGTTACAATACTTAAAATAGGTGGCAAACACCTTTATCCTTTTGGGTATTTCATCATATTTTTATGGAATTCGAGAAAAGTAATCCTCATGAGTTATGATTACTCATTTGTATTGAGTAAGTAGTAAATTAATACTATTCGAAAATCTATTTTGTAATAAGTTACACAGTTTAAACAGAAACCAGATGACTATGGTCGTTGGATACTGTTAATAATCATGAGTGTGAATGATAATTTACTTTGAGGTACCTATGGGTCTATTATTTTTCTCTTTTTATATACAATACACTTTACTCTTTTATAGTGTGCTTTTATTAAAATTGACCTTTACGTACTGTTGATATATGAAGGAACCTGTGAGATACAATTCTATAGATCAATACAAAACAGTGTTGTCGAGATCTATAGTAAGGATTTCACAACTGAAGTATCTGTCTCACAGTACACAACACAGTTAAACGTTCCAAATTTGTTTGAACGCAATAAAATGGTAATTAATTTGATTTAAAAAATGACAAACATTTACCAAAATCAATTCACTAGGTATTGGAATCTTCAAATCTATATATTGTTTCAACAGGGGTTCAGCACAAAATTTAATAATCATTAAGAACGCAATCGATGCAGCAGATATAAGTAGTGTGAACAAATTTGTCTCACGTATATTTTTGAACAAATTCACATAGACCTGGAATAGTAAACAATATATGTGTACATTCGATGATATATTAAACAGAGAATCAATTTACCAAATGTATCAAAGCAAGCATTTATTTTGAGTTTAAGATTCAGTTGTGAGCTCAACCTGTTACGTCTCAGTGATCAATCAATTGTATACATCTCAGTCCTACAGGGGTCACTCATCGCTCGAATAAATCGGTGGTTATGTCTCAAACTGTGATGTTAGGTGATGCGGGTTCGAGTAGTACAGAAAACATTAATTCCCTTAAGATTGCAAGCATGTCTTACTGATGAGTCCTAACTAGCACTAAATCTATATTCATAGTCCCCTAGCGACTACCTCCGATTACTTAACAACTGAGTTGGATAGAAATATTTGATATTAATACATTATGATGACAATCATAAATGACATTTCTCTGTGACTAATTAAAAATTTGATTCTTAAATCAAATGCACTTGTTATCAAATCATTCCCGTATAACATTAGAATAGCAGCATCGAAAAACTGTTGAGACTAATTAAATATAGTGTAAAATACTTTACTGATCGATAAAGAAAGATAATAAACACCCTATATTTCAAATAAAACTGAGTGTTGGAGTTGCTAAATCCTTAAATATAAAATAATAGAAAAATGCAAATTGATCAGATTTATTTGAAGGGATTTCCATTTAGTTCTTTCAGTATTAATTATTTCAACGGGTATTTTTTCGGTGTTTAATGCATTTTCATTGCTTCATTCAGTGTGATTTTTCATCCAAGTAATAGTTGATCAACATGGGGAATTCTTTAACTAACAATCACTGAATGTAATCAATAAATAACTTAACGAATTCGAGTGTGAATTGACTTTCATTAGTTCAATATCTCAAATAAATCTTTCTTACAAGATTTATGTTTTTGGAGTGACAGAGGTTAGGAGATAAGTGAGCTTGATATTAATATCGTATTGTAATTAAAGTTATCACTGCTTTTGTCAATATATCAGGAAGTCTTAGAATTCACATAATTAGTAAGTATATGGCAGCATGTTAGCAGCATAATCTATTGGCTTTAAGCTTGATCCTGTATGAAAACCTAAGTACATACTATTGAGAATAAAACAACTGTTCAGTTGTTGATAAGTTTTCAAAAACCCATCAACTGTTGTCAACCAGTTATAAAATCTAATTTTAATAAACTACGCATAAACAGCATAAAACCTGAGGCAATTTGTTACGTTAACTAATAATGTAAAGTAAGGTTTAATGAAGACAACCATTTGTTTTGTGATAAGATATGCTATTTGGATAGCCATTCCTGTTAAATGTAAATGACATTTTGACTATACAATATTCGCCGTTGATTTCGAGAGTAAACTGACGATTCGTTCACTTTAAACTTGAATTTCTTCAAGTCTCTCAGTGATCATGATACATTTTAACCATTGAACATGAATACAGTAATCCAGTATTTCCTGACTTCCAGTAACTTCACAGGAAAGTTGAAGAGTTTTCAGAGTATGGAATATTGAAAAGAAGAAAGGCCGCTGTATATTACTATAAAAAGTATGCGATTAATTCTCAAGTTTTGGGCTACAGATTGTAGCCTAATTCTTATTTCTTGATTTAAAATCAACTTGTAGTCATGATAAAAAGTTTCCAGTTCAACTGTCTTTATTGACAAGAAAATAGTAGTCAGGCAAAAAGATAAAAGAAAAGTATGACCGATGTTATGTAATAAGTTCATAAAATTCATAAGTAAAACGAAAAGAGTGAAATTTTCTTAAGTCTAGTCTTTTTTTCAATCTGATAACTAGATGTTGTTTATAACTGTTAACATCATCCCCCATACAAGTTTTATATTATCTCGAACCCACATGATTTGGTATTATGGCAAGCTTTTCATCTCCCATACAAATCGAATTATAAAGAGTTATCATAAACAATCATATGTACTACAAGTTATCACATTTTTCCTGCTCAATATGTTGGGTGCTGGCTTAAATCATACAATTTGAAGTTAAAACCTGTCTACTTGAATGAGGAATCATTAAGCTTATTACCTGGACTTGTTCAAACAAACGGCTTAGAGACATTCTTCGACAGCGGAAAGCTGCTTGAAATATGCATGAAACTCAGCTAACAATTTTGACTGATGTCACCACTATCCTGGAAAGAGTTATATGGTGTGATTTTCGAACAGTTAACTGATGATTAGTAATTAATGTGACCTCACTTCCAGCATTCCAGCACTATAGCTAATGTGACGAAAGCTCTAATTAGAATTTCTAACGGTTACTTTTAACCTCAAGTCTTATTCTTAATTCTTTACACTACTTGATAATGTCATTATGCCTTAATAGGTGGTTGGAGTATCTCAAGGTGATTTTCGAATCACTCAAATGTTGTCGGGAAGTTCTAGTCTTGCAGCCCGGTGACCTTAAGTTATTAGCCTTTAAATGAACATAGAGATATATGAAGCGTGTAGATAACTCCATTTGATTATATATATATATATATATATATATATATATATATATATATATATATATATATATATATATATATATATATATATATATATATATATATATATAACTATCGGTAGTGATAATGTTTAAATTAATTACAAGAAATGACCGTAAAGGTGACCAGATAAACAGTTGTTTTCACCTATGGAAACAATTATGTTTAGTCTAATTAAGAAGAATGAAATTAACAAATTATAGAATAGTCCATGCAGATGACCCTAGAAATCAATTTGCTAATAAATAAACATCTACGTGAATATACTCGAAACATATTTATACTTGTTTTGAAGTCTATACAAAAATCAATTAGCTCTTTACTACAAATAATCAAATAAACCAATGCAATAAATAGACGTAGTAATTTATATATAGCCATTGACTATTTGTAGGTCATATTTTGTGATGTGCTTATAAGAAACTTAATGAAAATAACAATTTCAAACAAATAACAGAATTTATTTTTGAAGGTTATTGAGATTGGTTTAATTTGTTGAAGCGGTTTTATCACATAAGATAGATTCCATTAGTGACCGATTTTGAGATAGACTTTTAAGTTTATAGTGAAAAATCGTAATTTCTCGAGTCTATTTATGAAGACCTAGTGAAAATAAAGATATCTGACTAGACAGGTATGAAAGTATAACTATTTTTTTCAGTAAACATCTATGTAATATATGTGTTTGATAAATACCAAATATTTATAAACATTTAACAAGTAGTCACATTTACAATGTTAAATCTCTTCCTAATCATATAAAACATATTTCTGACAATTAATTGAAGGGTTATAGCATAACAGCAAGAGAATTAATTAATAAAATTTATTATCATATTGAACTATGAATGAGATAAACGTATGTTAACACAAAGAAATCTGGCTTAGAAATTATTGATGAGTCTCTATAGTAGGACAAATATACAGTCAAATGTAACCCATTCTAGTGTCCTCGGAATATCGGACTCCAATTTGATCGTTTAATTATTGTTATCGGCTTGTACATGTTGCCAATCCTCGCATATAATTATCGACTTAACTCGCGTTAGTGAATAACGGAATTAAATAGGTCAAATAGGAGAATGGATTTTGAATGCGTATATTTCACACAATCGTTGATGTAAAAAGACAATTGAGGATTCATAGCGAAGAAAGCGAAGAGGAGAAAGAGAGAGAAGAGAAACCAAATGAAGGAGAGTGAGCCAACTCGATTTAACTGAGTGTGACTCAATATTTATAGTTAAACAAAAATAAGTTACAGACGCATGGTGGATAGGGTAAGTAATTAGCAGGCATACGATCATATAAAAGACAATCAACGTTAGCAAACAAATAAATGACAGGGTAAAAATATGGCTTGAAAAGGATAGATAGATCGGTCTGTCCAGAGGCTAGAATAACCTATGTGGGTTTGACATGGTGCCAGCCTCTACACCATAATACTCAAATTTAGTGGACTGTATTTTCCAAACCTGATCACTATATGTACTCAATCAAACCACATGTGTATATAAAGATATTATGGTCTAATATTAGTGAAAACCAGGAAGCACTAGAGTTTAACCATGTTCGGTATCAGGAAGTCACTCACTGTTAGCATAGGAAGATAGGTGCCTAATATCGCGAATTAATTGAAGTTAGAAATAGGAATTACTAAATAGCGGCCCAGTGACTTAAGTTTTAAGCACTTATTGAAACATTTGAAGGTCCTGGACTCGATCCCAAATGAGGTCGTGTGTGTAGACAGGTAGACACAAAAGAGCTATCCAACGCTTCTTAGATTATAATAGTTGTCTAGTAAGGATCAGTTAGTAGTCTAAGGTATGAAGAAGCTTTAGCAGAACATTTGGGAAAACAAATCAGAAATTTGAAGAAAACATACTTTAAATTCAGCTAAAGACTAAAGTAATTTGACGGAAAAACATTGGATCTAATTTTAAACACTGAAATCTATCACAAAGACACTACATAAAAAGTCTTTATTTTAATGAATCTTGAATGATTTATTCTTAAAACTTGTGAATATTTATAGCGTAGTTCAATAAATAAAATGTATTAGATAATTCACTCAGATCAGTTTTTTTGCATTCCCATCACAATGCTTCTAAAAGCCTTTGTGATACATGGTAAAACCAAACGTTCCTGATATTTGGTTGTTTTCACCACGAACTGGTGGTAACCGGCGAAGCTTTGGAAACCTGGATGTACTGAAAAGTTGATTTTATTTATTATTTATTTCAACACATAAATATTGGTACAAGAGGACACCAAATATATATGCGCCACACCATAGTTGTGTGTGTGGGGGCTGTGATACTGCCCGGGTGCCCAAACCGAAGCATGTGGTTTTCTTAGGGAGCCACTCCCCGAGCCTTCGACCTGAAGGTTTGACCCATAAGACAGTGGAGCATCGTAAGGAGATGCAGTCCCATGGTAGCCGGTGACCAAAAATTGGTCCATACGCCATTTGTTCCCGCAGGATACTGGAGCCCATGTGCACCATTGGTTTGGGATCCGGTTAAAGCGCCGGACATTCGCTTTTCGTCCTCTCATTTTTGTAAACAACACCCCCGCCACGAGAAGGCAGTGAGTAGGACTTCCCTGGTAGAGGCTGTATACACGTGGCTGTGTGAGAGTATCTCGAGAGGGAGGGCGGGGTCACTCCACCTTCGGCCATACCAGGGCATTTGGGGGCGAAGAGTTGATTTATCCTGGTTTGAGACTCTTCAGCCCAACAAATATAATTTAACGACGTGGTAAGAGTAAATGACAAATACATAGTTCCTCCATTGTCAAAGCAGGCCATAGGACTGATCTTTATCCATCCTTTATCGTTTTGCATAAAAGTTGTATAGGCTAAATATTCAAGATTTTTGAATCCTTAGCCAAACGCAAGTCCACCGCCCCTTATGTTCAGAAACAATTTATACTCATACTAAAACTAACCTTGCAATACTGATTTAATATTCAAAATAATGTTATCTATATTTTATTTCACACTATTATTTCTTATGTTCCAATTTGTCTAGTTGACGTTTCTTTCTCGTACTCGAAAATTATAACAAATTATTTTATAATCAGTTTGTTTACAAAAGTCACAGTCGCTTCAGCCAATCAAGGCCCGTAGCTTCATCAACCAGTTTGCCATCTTTACTTTATAACGAACGCTTAACCTTAGCACTAAACACTTGATTGTCCCATCATAAACGAGTAATGGTTAAGAAGCATCTATAACTAAACATCAATAGCTTACAAATGTCTTCTAAATTTTGAAGTAGAGATTTCGTTCTCCACTAACCTAACAGGTCTGATATTTAGAATTAGTGATCAACAATTTATACAACTCATATACTAAGTACGGAAATCTTAAGTAGTAAATACAAGAAATCGGATTAAATAATCAACCATTAATAGGTCTAAATAAGCTAAAATTATGTCTGTCAAACAATTTGGTTTGTTACATTTCTGTCTATTATATAATAGGCATGAGATACTGTACGAAATGTTAGACGATCATTAATTTAAATTTACCTAAGTAAACAGATTTTCAAGAAATAAACGAATTCCACAGTGTATTTTTGTAAAAATTGGGCTTTTATGTTAACCCGACATTGACGTCTAATAACTAAGGCAGATGAGTGAATATTATCAGTTCATATGTAAAAGGTATAAAATCTGTCGCTCGGTTAGTTTATTTGTACTCCATCATTCATTTTTATCTTCTGTCTATTCCAAAAGGGCACAAATGAGTGTGTATCATTCATTTAACAATCCATTATTGCGAGACAATCGTTACTAGGATTATTACTATCATTGGTAAAATTATAATGTAAAGACAAACTTGAAATAGCCTCGATGAATTTGTAGCTAGTTTTAGCCACTCAACAAAACAGCTTTCGTAAATGAACAATTTGTGGAAAAAAATAATATTGAGAAGCGTAAACGGATCTCATATAATCAAAGAATCTATTAAAGTCCTCTACAGGTCACTGTGCCTTGAAATAAAAAAGTGATATAGATTTCGCCTTATGGATACATATTCTCCATCCTCTTGAACCTTTAAATGGACTTAAATAAATTTTTGAGAGTCCATGTATCTAAGCTATTCAGGGTTAGGTATATATGGTTACGAATAGACGTTTAAGGTTAGTATTTACATTATGAACTAATGTCAGCTATAATCTAAAAGCACTCTGTAGTTATTCAGTTGCACGAACTTTCCTCGAAAATCCAAGAGGCGTTATCCAAATAGTTCGTCTAGAAAACATAGTGACACCAGATTAAGATTTGTTTCAGAATTAATGGTTTAGGTTTAGAATGTAAAGACAGTGTCGCTTAAGAACCTAAAAGTTGTGTTCTCGAATCCGATTTCCTCGTTTATCTATTGTACTCTTACTGTTCACATAATCAAACTATAAGACGGAGTCCACTGATTACGAGTACGCCTTACCCCTGCCTGGCTAATAACCTTTGCTCCAACCAATAACATGAATAATCGACAGCAAAAGACTGTAAGCGAAGTCCTCAGAAATCCTTATTTCTACTGGACCAAAGAAATTTAATCCTCAATAGTCAGTCAGGAGACGAACGCAGTAAGCCAATGAATTATTTATTATTGCTTATTTATAATGGCTCAAAAACCCACTGATTTATGAGCATGAACATACCGCATCACAGGTAACAAACCATAGATTTGCACACCCATGTATACGTGATTTAAGACAAAACAATGAATAATGAATTATTAAACAATAATTCTTGACGAGCAAAACATATATCTAGCGTCCACACCTAATGGTCTGTAATGATTTAGAGAATTTTCATCATATGTGAGTAACAGTTGATATCATAAAATAAAACTGCTCAACTTCATTCATGATATGATCATCAATCTGATGATAAAAATGACTCAAATTGCAAAGTTTGTTAACTAACCATAAAGAATGAACCAGGTCCTTGATATTTCTTTGCAGACTTTACACCGAACAATGAACTGATTTGACTGCTTAACACATGAAAACCTGCGCCCGATGTATAACCAGATACCATTGATGGCGCTAAATATGACGTAAATGTACCCAATTGGCAAAAGCCAATAATTAGCTTTAAATGAAATGAAAAAATCGAATTTTATATGAAAAAAGAGGACAGTGAGATTAAAAAGGAAGAAAAATACACAGATTTAGTGTATTTGCAGTGAAATAGTTTAATAGATTTTCAAAAAGCAAATTTAAATTGATCATTTCGGGGGAGATAATTTTGAGTTTTATTACCATAGTCGAAAATTAAATCACTAGATAGTGTTAATCCTTATTGCCAATGTTCCTTCACGTTTATGTGTATGTCTACCCTGCCTCATTCTTAGTCTAAACACTTATAATTTTATATCACATGTATATCTTACTCTGACAACATCTCCCTTAGTATAGATTATATTCATATGAACTTATTATCATTAGGGTTGTATTTTACTTCAAATAACCAAACTAAACTTCGGCTGACATTACTGGCACGATTACTGAGATTCCTGACCCCTATTGATTAAAATTTAACGGTATGATTATAAATATTTAATAATAAGTAATTGGTTAACATACGTTTCGGAATGTGTGCTCATGTAATTAGGAACACACTTTGTGTTTCCATTATAAATTCGCTAATTGGGTGTCAATGGTGCATTACTGTAGTTTGATTAGCTGAACTCCATTTAACGTAAACTGTTTTAATTGGTTGTCAAAATTCTTATATTTAATCTTTGAATTTTTTAAATCCGACAGTTTGATTGCTATGAAATATAAAATTTTAACATAGGAGAAGAGTCATATCAATTCTATTCGAGTGAGCCCTCCACATATGAAGAGAAAATCATGAGAAGACGCTGGGTAGGACATACATTGAGGATATCATCAAACTGCACCACGAGGCAAGCACTAACTTGAAATTCTGAAGGGAGACGGAAAAGAGGAAAACCAAGGAACACACTGGTCAAGGAATCGGAATCAAACATGTAGAGGTCTTCATAATACAATCGACCACAAAGAGATAGAGAAAGGGAGAAAGTAATCCGCCTTGGCTGGTACCGGTCTTCACTTGGAATCGACTGTCAACTGACCTGCATGCACGGCTTCTCGGTGTAGTCCGTCGTACGAATTCCGGATGATGGTGACGATCTTCTCAGGCACATCATAGTGTCGAACAAAGTTCCATAAGATTCTCCTACTCTCACTGTCAAATGGTTTCTCATAGACAAGGAAGTTGATGTAAGGTGACGAGTTTCATTCAAATGACTGTTTACCAATAATCAGCAGTGTCACAATTTGGTCTGTTTATGACTCATCCTTACGAGACCCAACCCGAATATTTCAACAACACTGTTAAAAACTCTTTCTAGTGCTGATGTGGTGGAGAACACAGATGAGGACAACCGAATTACAGAGTTACTTGGTAAAATAGAAAAACCATACTATGATACCTAATTTGTAAAATGTTCAATAATTGTCTTGTACTTCATTGTTCTTGCATTTCTATACCAATTGCTATCTATTCCCGTTCTTCCTTTCTTGATCTTCCCAATCTTCTGCTGCCAGACATTAAATTCCTGACTCGCGTTATATACTACTTATGTCAATATAAGTAGCACGCACCACACTGACAGTAGTGTGATGCCACTGAAGTTCTCAAACTTGCTATGGTATTTTGATGACGTATTATTCTTTCCAATCTGTCGGCACTTGTTCTTCTTTTCAAATCCTTCTGAATAGAGTGTGGAGCATGTTTGCAGTTACTTCTATGTGTGACTTGAGTGCTATCTTGAACTCGATGACATTCTTCAGTGATGCAAAAATGATCGATCTACTTCTCTGTAGTGTGATCCAGTGAAACCTGTCTAGCTTTGTGCATACTCTGTTATGAATGAAGATTTGATGGTTGTGGATACATGAGGTTCCCATCCTATAAGCGCTTCGTTCGATATCATCAGTACAACTCTCTGTGTGTGCGTAGCATCTTTCTCTTCTTCATGATCAGAGTACAACAGAAACTCTCCTGAATCTGATATTTGTTATCCAGATTTTTTCCAATCGATTTCACTTTTTCCATGCACCGTCAGGTTGTATCTCCTCACTTCTGCAGTTGTTTTATTGGTCATGCAGGTCTCGCACATAATGCTGACATTCCAATTATCTATGTTAATTGCTGCTCTAGTTGTGGAAATAGGCATGGGCTTCATGATATCTGAAGAATCTCAGATTTCATCATATAGCTTCATAGCTCTTTTATATGAAGACCGTTTGATTCTGATGGCAAAGTTTAAAGGGCTTGAATGGGTTTTTCAGGTTAGCGTTATTCAGCAAGTTTGTTTTTATACTGGATGGGTTTACTAACCCCATGCCTAACCCTCCTCCAGTATCCGGGGTTGGAAACCTACATTAATTGGAGGAGAGCTCCAAGTGGAGTTATTTATATATTGAGAATAAATACAGAAATTTCTGTTATGTAAATACTTTTCCAAACGTTCGACTATGTATTTTATTCACATGTTTCATTCAATTATATTATGACTCGAAAATTCGCGACATATTTTCTTGCCCTATTTGAATAACCTTTCTAACCTAAAAATCACTATTCTGAGTTACTTAGGCCATAATAAGTAAAAATGTTCACTATTTTAATACACAACATTGTCTAATCTTTTTACGGATGCCTTATTTTGGTCAATGTAATACAATAATGCCCGACTTAAAATTGTGCAGAATTATGATTAAATTATTGCAAACACGTGTTCTTTTTAATATTCTTTGTTTTTGAGTAATTCATGGTAATTCGTTTATTATTTTATTTAAATTGCTGAGTTACCTTTCTGTTTCCAAACGTTTATTTGTTCAGCCTGTTTGACCTAAGTATTGAAGTTTACAAAACTGTATGATTTATTTGTGCGTCTTTTTTGTTGTTTTGAAAATCCTTCAGATATTTTAGGGAAATAGGAAGATGTTTTGATGAAGGAACCAGGCATTTTGGAGAAAATATGAATATTCACCTACATTCCATCAATGTTTGTTGCTTGGTTTTAAATCTCTAGAACCTTCAAGTTGTCTTGGCTAACTGATAGCACACAGCCTATGTTCTATAGAGTACATATGCTTACCAACTTTTAAGTCTAGGTAGCTAGATATTGGTATGGTTTACTTAGCTCTTAATAAGATGCAAGCTTCCCGTCATTGAATTTTGGATTTTACGCAAAAATAGAAGAACCGCCGCCTTACATTTGATTAGTTCATCACTATTATATATTTTTATTACGAAAAATTGTCAGATGCAGGTAGTCAATTACTAATCATTGCTGTGAGAACATCTTTGAATGCGTTTTCTTAGAATCTTTTACAATTAAAATGTAATTGAGAAACAAATTTCTTGGTAAATATTGTACTTCGAATTTCCTACTATGTACAAGTGAACAGTATAAAAATTTACGGACCACTTAGTGGGAAAGTGGTATATATATATATATATATATATATATATATATATATATATATATATATATACTATTGCAGTAAATATTTCTATGAATTGAGTGTTCATCTTATTGTGCTAATGAGCAGTGGCAACTTGGGACGATATAGCTGACTGAATGATGGTCCATGATGCTGATCGAATTTCATCGATTGAGTTGTAATATGATCTTTTTTCATAAAAGACTTAAAATTAAATGCACATTATTTGGATAGGTAGTCGTAAGTATGGTCGGTAGGAATCCATGATATTGGGTTTCATTCTAGTTGACCCACGATAGCAAGAAATGTCTGTAATAATTAGGAATCATTGCTCTCAGGCAGAATAATGTGGTAATTATTATTGTTAATGATAGTTTTAGTAGTGAGATAACAGCAAATTACCAGCATAAATGTATGAGATATCTCAGACACCATCATCTGATATAAGTAGATGATATAAATTTGTGAAATTTGTTAATTGGATCATATTCTAAACGACCATCACATCAAAAAAATAATTGCATCTAGCTTGATGGTATGCATGGAGACGAAAATAGGGTTTTAAATGTGTTTGCTTTCATTAAACTAAATTACAATACTTGATTATACAATCAAATTATAAAACTTTTGCCACTCATTTTCAGTGAAATCTACCACTATTAATTCACAGGTTATAAGTATTCGATCATAGATACACCCGAAGAATTGCTTGTGCATTTTGGGACCACTGATTAAAAAATGTTGAAGTTAGAAACAAAGTACCAATTAGAAGGGAAAATCGGTTTATGCAATGATAATGAATCGTTATCAAATAAGGTGATAAGGAAATGTGTTATTTATGCCCAAAACGTTCAAACCTCAATTTCAATGTGGGAATAAGTTATAAGAAGCTAACGGTGACCAATTCAATATATGAAATCACTTCATGAGATCAGTGACTGCAGGAATGGGGTGTACTAATAGGTACAGACTATTTGATTGGTGTCCGCTCGACGATCACAATCAATAGTTAGAGATGATGGGTGTTATAACCCAGAATCAGTAGTAGTGGCCCAGATGCACTCACTTTTTTCTTTCCCCTGAATCTTGAGTTCATAAATTACCATATACATTTTGTTCTGTGAATCGATTCTATCTTCTCGGATCACGCTGTCAAGGCCTAATTCTTTATTTTACTTCTGATACTAATGCTACTCCTACTACTGTAGGATTTATCTCTATACTCTGACCCTGTGGATCTGGTATGTCAGTTTGAACAGATTCAGACGCATTGATTTAAAATTCATTCATCCTTTTTTAACCTACGATCAATTTCCGGTTATGTTTAATCTCCCGTTTTAAATGAATATGCGCATTACAAGTAACTCTTACAAACCTACATACTTTAATATACTTGATTTTTTGAAATTATTAAACCATATTAAATTATAAAGGAAGTGAATTAAAACAAATGTAAATTCTATCTATGAACTATTTTTATAGTGAGATTTTGTATTGAACCTGTCTTTCATGGTATATATATATGTGTGTGTATCACTTTTAAGTTCTGATTAAATTTTACTATTAATAATAATAATAATAATAACAGATTCATTCCTCTGACATTATTATTAAATAAATAAGTCATAATTGTGGACTGACACAATGCATGACAAATCGAACCCAGATGTATCATCTTTACTCACTCTACACCCGTAATGACCCGGGTTTATAATCCCAACTACCATAAGAAATACAGTTATCGCTTATTGTATTGGCTGATATAAAAAGTGCTATTTTAAACCTAATGAAGTTCGCTAATGTCGACTGAGTGGTGTAAACGGCATCTTGTCCACTGACTGACCTAAACATATGGAGTCCCATTTGAAGAGCCATCTTAAACTAAGTAAGAATGCATGTCCAGTGCACCCATTAGTTTACATTTCTAATTTGAATTCATTCTCAAAGCTGCACAACCGTTATCCATCGCCATTGGTAATACATGCTTTATGCACATGGTTGTTTGTTATGTCCATAATTAAATAAGTTAATAACCATAATAAGCTACATGGCTATGTGGAGCTGAAGTTTTCATATAAGGCCAGAGGTTCGTCATTGGTATTGTGGATGGTTCGACATTGCTTTGGCGAGTTTTGCTGACTGTTCATGCACAAAATTGGTTTGCTGGTTAACCGATTTCATTCACACTGGTGGTCGCTTTTCAGTGTTCTCAAGGGCCATTGTCATTTGGACATTGTAAGGTATGTCACCATTGCTAACATTATTGAGTTTGACTGTCGTGTAAGCGAGATAGGTCAATTTTGGCCTGTTCGTGCTGCGCATAATTGATTCACACGATCATTGATCGGAATAACTATACATGTGATGTGAATGTGTATATGTATATATGTGTGGTGAGAATGGTCCATCAGGGTGCTTCGTACCTGTGTGGTTGCGCCACAGGGTTGAACTGTACTATTCAGATTGTAGCATGAAAGCCTATACGGTGTCCGGTTCTCCTGTGAAGCGGGATTGAGCTGTACTGTTTGGGTTGTCATGTGAAAGTTTGAATGGTGTCTGATTCTCCTGAAAACCAATATAAAATTACCCTGGCCCACAAGGGTATATTATAAAACTATTATATAACTATAATAACTAGAAAATCTTTTCTATATCCGTTACCATCATTTACTTTGATCATGATACACCCTATCTTTATTTAACCAGTCAACAAATAGTGTAATTTCATTATATCAGTCATAAAAAGAGGTTGTAGGATATTTACGAACGTTTGACTGGTTAGCCATAACTGAGAATGAAGACCTTTAGAGCTGGATTATAAAACGGTAACGCACTGTAATTACAAGCTTCTTCAATGAAGTGACACACCTCATTCAAAAACCTATGGTTATTTTAGTCGTGCTACTACATGAATTCGTAGGTGACAAAATATTTAAAGTATTTTCAGTATGGAGTTGTGGAGATTGTTGAATTTCATTGAAATTATGAACCGATCTTAGTTAGACCACCACTGAAAATCTGGAAGCACTGGGTGTCCGCTTCTTCCTGGTCGCGGAATCCTCAGAAATGTGCATCCACGACTTCACAACCAAGAATCGAATTCGGGATCAGCTTATGTTTCCATGAAATTTACAAACCCCCACTAGCGATTATCGTATGCATTCTAGTGACTGGTTACAAATGTTAACTCTCTGAGTTCTGATGAGAAGCAGGAACCAGTAAAGTTCAACCGTATCGAGTGTGCACTAGACACCTGACAAACGTATAGGAATATGCTTGCGAAATGTCACAAACCGGTTGAACTTAAACCAGAAAATCATTTGATTCCAATTCAATGATCTAACAATTAAGCACTCGTCATGATATTTTAAGGAACTTGATTCGATTCTGAGTTGGCTTGTGGATATTCACTGTCTAGGAATTCCATACTAGGTCGAAATAACTGCCCAGTACTTAGTGATTTTTTAATTATTGTTTAAGATAAATCTGTTATGTAATCTATGATATAAGTATCGGAGATGTTTTACATTTTACATTTACATACAGTCTACTGACTTAAATTATTAAAATAACCTAATTAACAACTAAATTTCTACAGATTTACTAAATGCAATCTACTAAGTAACTAGTTTTTTTAGTAAAATCAGACAGGGATGTATTTGAAAAGCACGCAGTGTGAAAATCTTTCAAAAAAATCATTATTAAGAGAACAGTTAATCATGTTGAGTAGTTGAAAACGTTGAAATAAAGATTACTGAGGATTTCTTTAAAATCTTCGAATTAAATAAATATCAAAACTTGCTTGTATAATTCCAACTAGGAAAGTAAGCGTCACGGCTACAATTGCTCTTGGTTCTGAATATTGTAGTGGCAACTTGTTAGTTATTATATCTTCAACTAGTGTAGAGTTTGAATTTATGATGGAATTATGATGATTAACTGCAACTTTTGAACTATGCTGTTCAATTGGGCCAACAATCAGTAGGCTTACAACAGCGAATGTACCTAAATTAAATAAAAACAGTTATTTATAGTAAATTTAAGGTATAATAAATCCTAATGGCTTACCATTTGCTATCAGACCTACAAATCTCGGTTTTTATTCCCAATGTGGTCGTCGATACCTACTTTTGAAGAGTTGCATACTAAGATGAAACAGCTAACCAGTACTTCCTCCAACCACGTAACATCTCAAACTTATAACGTATTTTACCACTATTTATATAATATGAAAAGTATCATCAGTATAGAGTTGTGGAGATAGTTGAGTTTTGATTGAGATCATGAGTCGATCGATGTTAGACCATCATTGGAAACCTGGAAGCCACCACCGAAGACAATGAACCGAAGGTTCTTGGTTCGAATCACACGTACGGAACCGTGGATGCGCACCGCTGAGGAGTTCCATACTAGAACGAAACGGTGGTACACTACTTCCAGGCTTTCAATGGTAGTCCAACATTGATTAATTCGTGATCTCAATGAAAACTATCATTAGTTTATTGCGAGATAGATATTGAAGATTTTCAATGGGAATTTTATCAGCTCTATAATGAACCATTTATGGAACAATATGATTGATCAGTACTAATACTATACCTTGAATTGACTCTGTACTTTCAAGAATACAGAGCACGACATCCTGATAAATCGATTGATTGCAATTCTTGGATTCGTTGTAAATTATTATCAGTACTTCTTAGTATAAAGAACAATTGTATTTTGTCTTTGATTTTCTAATTTACTCATATTTTGATATCGATAAAATTTAGTTGACTCATATTATTCGTAAAATATTTAAATAATTCATTTTCAGTAGTTGTGCATGTGACTTAAATCATCAAAAATGGAGGCTACTTGAAATTACGTCATTTTAATGAGTGAGTAACTATAAATCTACTTCCTGTACTATTTAGTACTTTTTTAACAAGGCATAATTAGAGTTTCGAGAGAACCAACACAGTGATTTGAATTCGAACCCTTATCACATAGTACCACAGTTAGAGACCTGAGGGGACAACTGTTGAGTCTTTTAGTCTGGTTGTTACTTAGCAGAGTAACCAACAGAATGTAATCAGCAGAAGGATTAGATAACTAGGAAGTGATAAATAGTTATTTCGTCTTATGTCTGTTCTCTGGTAGAGCCAAACAGTTAACTGTTATTTCTTTTATTTTAGTGATTATTTAATTAGGATAATTTCGTAATGGAAAACTTCATTGTTCAATTGTTTATTCGTCTTCTACATTCCTGAGCATGAGATGTAATGAAGTAACAGTACTGAACCTTGTTGTCAATCAAATTACTTTGTTTATGCTAACAAAAAGGTCTTTTCTCAAAAGTATTTGATCAAAGTAATTCATATATTCAATAAATTCTATTTACATTCACTTATATAGGGTCGTAATATTTGCTCAACTCACTATGGAATTTACATTAAAACTAATTGAAGTTATCAAAGAAAATATGAGTAAAGTTAATTCCAAATAAAATTATAATTATTTTCTAAAACTGAAGTTCAAAGAGTCACTTATCCAAAACATCACTTAATTGACTTCCTTTACTTAATTAAAGCCCGATTATATCCATTTCATTTCATTTCAGCGAATTCAGTTCAAACTGATTAAAGAAAAATTCACTTGGTGTTGTTTACCTGTATCTTCCCATTGTTATTTAGGACTGCAATTGGTCAGTCTCTTGTTGGCATATGTGCATCCTATGAGGACTGCCTTGATATTGCCTTAGGTCACAAGCTTTATAAGCAAAGAAGAATGAAGACAATTCAGAGAAAAAAACTTTCTTTCCGACCATATCATATACTTAAGATGTAAAATCTTATTTAATATGCCTCGATTTTTACTAGTTAATATTACCATATTGCTAATAATCTAAATATCTTGACTTCGGATTAGACATTACCGTATTATTATACTGGTTGATACAATTCGGTTGTCATTAATTAAAACTTAGATATTATTACACTGATTATCCCTTGGAGACCAAGCGGTGCATTTTATTAAGTGAAGTTATTCGTCGTATGAACAGCTGTAGTAACATCCCCAGATGCTGAAATGAGGGATGACTGTTTCAGTTATTATTAAAATATCACATCCTTGACATTACATAAATGATTTAATAATAAATATCACTAATCACAAACACTAAGATGGATAATATTATCATGCCGACTCCTTCCAAACATGAGCATAAAATGTCGATTGGAGATAAAATTAAATTTTTACATAGTTTCTTTTCATTAAATTTAATTTCTTTAATGAGGCTATCACTTGTTAATATTCGTTTACAAAGTGAGAAATATAACAAATTTGATAGATGGGGAAATTCTCCTCATTTCAAAATTAAATCTGCAATCTAATACTACTATCAAGTAGTTTAAACTAATTCATAAAACCATCCCATCCCATTAATTTACGGCAATCGGTCAATTCTTTCGACAAGTAATTAACTCATATCCGTGTAAATAGTACCTAAATATGATATTCAATATTAGTATAGCATGAAGAAACCTAAGTAATAGCACTGAAACCTATATGAATTTAAAAGGTCTCTTAATTTAGTGTATTGTTCAAGCCATTGTACTACCATTTAATCAAATGTACATTTACTTCCATCAATTTCTCTGTTAAATAGTTGCTTTAAGTAACTAATCATGTCTTTTAACTGCATGTCCTTACGTTCTTTTTTAGAGTATTTATAATTTATGGAGAATCTAATTAGTGGGAAACTCGAAAAGTACAACCACTGTGATTTATGTATTTTCCTACTTTTTATAGTATAATTGATGCGCCAAATGTATATGACAATGAAAAGAGATTTCAAGAGAACAAGAATGGTTACAGATAATTTAGAAATGACTATGAATGATAGCTAACTACTATTTAAAAGCCTTTTACGCATATTTTCTTAATATTGACAGATTAATTGGTGAAAAAAAGGCAGTGTCATTGTAATACTGAATATTTCGTGCTAAGGTTTCTTCATTGTAATCAAACGTATGATAATGAATCAAGACAGTATTATTCGTCCTTTGATCGTATTTTCCACACATTATATTACTTAGTACTACCTGTTAGACAATTTCAGAGTAATTCTTTATTAGGAAGTAATATCAGCTGAAGAAACAGAGAAAATCTAAACGAAAAATTTAATAGTTATTTTACCACAGTTTTGAACTCTTCAATTGTGTGCAATCAAAACCCACCCAATCGATGAACTTAAAATTTCGTAGAAAGCTAGATAACATTGCTGAGAAATATTAGATACCTAAAAGTATAATAATTAGAAATAAAACAGTGAAAAGTTTCCAAATATTTTCTTTAAAGTTTAAAACATCGTGTATATATTTCACATAAATGCTACTGTGAACACCATAAAAACTTGAGGTTATATATTCCATTTCAATTGGAGTAGTAAGTGTGTATTATTGAAAATCATTGAACTAAAATGAAAAACTTATCAAATGCTTTATGACCTTTCATAATTTTCTTGGTAATGACAATTTGTAATGAGATCTTATTTTTAAGAAATATTAAAGAATCTCGAATAGAATTATTCAATTTCATAAATAATTTGACTAGAACCAAAGTAAGTATAAACTAATATGCATGTTTAGTATGTATATAAAAGTCATATTATTGATAATCACTAATAAGAAATTAACTATAAAGCATTAATCCATTGTTGATTTAACATGATTATCATTAGTTTGATCTAATGATTTAACATTAATGTATTATACAATTGTACAGTTTTACTGAATGATTGATTTACATGTACATGTAAGTATTTATATACCCATGTATAGTAATGTGTATTTTATTTTAGCACGTTCATACTAGATGAGCTCTATTCACTTGGATAAAATATATTGTCAATGATTATTATATTTCTAGTATAGGGGTTGTGGAGATTATTAAGATTTTGATTGAGATCATGAACCGATTGATGTTAGACCACCACAATTGAAACTATCACCATTGGATGCCGGCTCAGTGGTCCAGTTGGTTAAGCGTTCGCGCGCAAGACCGAAGGCCCTGGGTTCGAATCACGCGAGCGGGATCGTGGATGCGCACTGCTGAGGAGTCCCGCAATAGGACGAAACGGCCGTCCAGTGCCTCCAGGTTTTCAATTGTGGTGGTCTAACATCAATCGGTTCATGATCTCAATCAAGATTATTATATTTGTTATGAAAGAAATTCTTATTAGTTGAATTCATGAGTCAATTGAAGCTAGACCACCATGGAAAACCATAATATCCAAAAAACCCTCTCTGATTAAATTTTTATTATTTTATTGATGTAATGACTTGAGGAGATTGATAAATTTTTGTGGTTTACATCACGAACTAATCTTAGTCAAATAATAACTAAAGATCAGGAAGCACTAGATGGTTGTTTCATCCTAATATCCACAAGCCAACTCAGAATCGAATCAAGTACCTTCAGATATCGTGACAAGAGCTTAATTGTTAGATGATTGAATTGGCATCAAATGATTTGCTGGTTTAACTTCAACCAGTTTGTGACATTTCGCAAGCATATTCCCATATCGTTGATAGGTGACTGGTGCACACTCGATACGGTTGAACTTTACTGGTTTCTGCTTCTCATCAGAACTCAGAGAGCTAACTCTTGAAACTCGCTGCTAGTTATAAAAGCAAAAATAACTTAACCAGTTCTACCTATTGGTCATTGAAAGGTCATCGATACCATTTGTTGAATTCATATTGAATTCTACTGTGAAAGCATTCCACTTATCCATTTAAATAAGTAGGTGATGCATTACACCTGGGACTTTCATAAAAACGATACCATTAACGTTTCTACTATCATATAAAAAGGAGACGATAATCATCTATTTTAAAGCACCGGAATGGTTTTGGATAAACTCCTATAAAAAAGAAAACAAGTTTATTCATGTTAGTGTGTTATTGGAAATAACTGGGCCTTGATTTATGTAATCGCTTAACATGTATTGATTAATCAGTTGATTTTCCTCGTGGAGCAAACTTAACTAGATAAATGATGAATGCCAAGAAATAATAGACAATTGTTTTATGATGTCCATATCTACCCTCTTGAAATGTTGAAACGAATTTTGAACATTGATAATATCAAACTCCATAGGCTAGAAATATAAGGTTCGAGTTTTAGCATTACACTTAAAACTACGATTGGAGTAAATCTCATCTGAACTTGGAAGATAAATTTTTTTTAAGAAAATTAATTCTAACGTTAAAGATTATTTTCAAACTTCTAAAATAAGATCGACGTTAGAACCTCAAGTATAAACCTTGTTTCCGAAGTTTAGGAACCATAAAATAATTCAAAGTATACAGAAAAAACTCACAGTACATTTTGACTGAAATTAGGATAAAAATATACTTCAGTTGACTGATCCGAAATCATTTTGGGAATCGTAGTTTTATGATTTAGTGAATAACAAACAACTGCCTTGTTTCAAAATACAAATTTCAATGTGGAATACTAGACCATTAGGATTTTAATGGGACATAAAGAGAGAAAAGCATTACATCTCCCTATTTATTTTTTATCATATTTTTAAACTAAAAAGCAACTTTTAACTGTTTGTTCCTGGATATTTATCCGATTTTGAAATAATTTAGTTATAGACTAACTTCAGTTGCTGAACCGTTGTTGTAACGGGTGTGACTGCAGGTTTTTGATAAGCAGCGTTTATTTATCGATCACAATGGACAGTGACACGTAATACACGTACGGACGACCTAGTGCCCTGATTGGCCCTGCTTCCCTGTCTAGCCCAGCCACTTGAGATTAGAACGCAAGTCACAGCCTCGGAGTTATGAATCATTGTATTTCAAACATACTCTATTTATATACCAAGCAAACAAACCACATCGTACCATAAAATAGGAAACAACATTTGTACAATATTTAACAAGTGAAGTAAACATCGACCAATAAGAAATGTACATTTAAGGTCCAAGGCCACCGTAGACTTAACACAATAATTATTGGTATATTTTTCCGACTATCCTAACAACCGTTGAAAGCTAAATTGTATTGTAAACAGGTATTTCGTCCTAGCTCATGGCTTCTTAACAATATACAGCTACAACTTTATTACAGATATAATTTAGGATTTTTAAGAATCAAGGCGATGTAGTTACATTTAGATATATTACTGATTCACTCTCTAATGATCTACAGCTTTAATTACATCTAATTTATAATACAACCGGACGATTATACAGCAGAATCGATTATATCTGTCTTACTTTCAGCACAGCTAAGCACTAGCCAAGACACCTAGATGGAACTCCTGAAATGTTCCTGAAAATTAGTCATTAGTGTTCATATGATTGGTGTTTCTAGGTGTTTTCTTGTGCAGATCAATCGAATTCTGGAATAGTTCTCGTTGGGACATGTATTATATACACTCAAGCGCAGCTTACCTCGACGGGCGATATTTTCTAGTGCGGGAAAAAACCAGGGGCGAGCAAGCCAAAACATTGTATCAGTTCATGTTAATAGGAGTATACTACCTTGTTAGGGTCCGCTTGTTTATTGTAACTAATGACTGGAGACTAAATTAAATAGCTCAAAATCGTTTGCGATGGCATAGGTACATCCACTCTTTGTCGTCTTTCGAACTCAGATTATAAATTTCTCAATATTTTCCCTTATTTCACCAAATTATATTTTCTTCTCACTAGTATCTTTGATGCCTAATCTCCTTTATTACTACTGGTACTGTTACTACTTTTACTATTCCGTGATTAGGCCTGACAATTTCATCTCTCTGTGCTAATGTTGCATGGTAAATTGAACGGACGTACATATGTATCAGTTTCTACATTGTGACTGGTTGACTAACTGAATGACTGTGTTATCGTAAGTTTGAAATGCAGAGGACGACAACGAAACATCTGCTCAATCCCTTCTCGTTTCGAGTGATTCACTAGTTAACATTATTGTATGAAGCAAAACAATATCTAAACTACTACAAATTGAAATGAATATTTACTTATTAACTCCATACATTTATTCATTTTAAATCATAGAGTTCTATCAGTGTGACACAAACTAAAGTACTTATGTAATTACTCGATAAAAATTATATAAGATTTTAAAAAGCAGACAAATTTACGTTTGACGACTAGCGTTATATATATATATATATATATATATATATATATATATATATATATATATATATATATATATATATGTTTGACGTTATTTAGGTTCGGTTTTTTAATGTCTTTTTTTTGAAAAATACGTTACCTTTCGAACATAGGTACACGTAAAATCTAAATTGTTTTGGCAGATGAGCAATGGAATTAATTTACATATTATGAAGTTTTTAGTATATGCATTAATTTTGCAGTCGTTTTTTCACTATAAAAATCTGAAGAATTAGTTTAGTTAGATGATCAGTGGAAAACGCTGATTATTTTTTGGTGATTTTCATGAATTAATATCGACTAGAGAGAAAATGAAAATCATGAAAATAAGTCCAACGATCTGTAGCTAGAATGCATCAGTTTGATAAGACTGTTAATCTCCGAGATGTAGGATTCAGTTGTGAACCCATTATTTTTTCTTAAATAAAAACAGTAGTAAAAACACGAGAAGAGAAGTGGGCTCTTAGAATTTCTCTACAAAAGACAGAATAAGATGTTCGGCAGCAGTTTACTAGTGATCAAAATAGTTCACTTGTAACATCTTGAACTTTAAGTTTGTGTAACTTAAGCTCGGATCCCATAATGACCATTAGTTCCTTCAATAGTTCAGGTACGCCCACGTTATGAGTTCGAACTTGCACAAAACTTAAATCTATGGTTTACTTCCAGCTACCTTCAAACACAATACAGAACACATCGTTGGTCGTATGTGAGAAAATTAGAATACCTCACTTTTCAAATAAACTATGAAGAACTATGGGTGACTGTCAAAACATAACAGACAACTCAGTAACAGGTCACATCCACGACCACTCATCAGATTAAACCTGGAACCATCACTTTCTTACGAAAAACACGATTATCAATCAATATCAACTATTTTCTTCTTTGAACGAAATCATTGCTAATTGTCTAAAGCATTTATGAATCTGAAAACAGGTACATGTAGTGGCTGTCGGTCATCATATTTAATTGAAGGATTTTTGTGGAGATTGTTTTAATTTGTAGCATCGAACCCAGAGGCAACCGGACGACTGTTTTGTCCTAGTATGACGCTCCCCAGAAGTGTGCACCCACAACCACTACAGGATTTAGAGCTAGGATTTCCGGGTTTCCTGGAACACGTTTAACTACTGTAACCATTGGTTTGACATTCAATAGTAAAATCTCTACTTCAGTCAATTTGAGATAGAGAGTAACGATCAACCAGCGTCATCAGTGACAAATGCTTCACTTCCGACTAGTAAAACATCTCAAGATTGTAGAAACACACTGATGAGAAGCCCCGTGTAAGGACGAAACAGTCGTTCAATGCTCCGTGGTTTTTAATAGTACAGCAACTGAATTAATCTATAACAAGTAGACCCAAAAATCACTATTTTTATTTAATGAACGTGAATTTTTAATTGTTTCACATACGGTTGATTACCTATGTATGTTTGCAGATTAATCACCGACTCTTATATCCATATCTCAACAAATAAGAACAGTCAAAAAAATGTAATTCAAAATTTCACTTGTATTTTATTTGAGTGCTAGAGAGACATGAGAAATAAATAATCTGAAAACCTGATTAATATACTCAATCACCAAATAAGGCAATATGGATCAGAAACAGAGAAACATATATAACTAAACTTTCATATTGATTATCAACTAAAACTTACCCATAGAAAATTGTGTACAACGTCCAAAAATTGCATAGAACAATGGACTTAAAAAACCAATATACAATCCATAAACAGGTGGTAAACCAGCGAGTAATGAATATGCCATACCTGCAATTTTAAAAAGAACACAATATTCTACTATCCTACCCCTCCTACATCATGTTTATTATTAGAAAGCATGAAATAAATACTAGTAGAAAAAATATACTTTCCAATATATTTAGCGTGTTGCTAGCGTTGGAATTTATCAACTTGGTGTACCCGCACCTCAATATTATTGTTCACATAAACTTCGAGTCAGTACATTTTACTTTAAACTAACACGTTATTCATTGTTCATTTGAAGTCCTGAATATTAAAAACAGGAAATTACAAGTCTTTTTACATATTTTTGCCTGTAACATGAAAGAGGTACAAATAGGTCATTGATTTTTCTTGACATGTTCGTTTCTTTGTTCAGATCTTTACTAAATCGTATTGATACATGTTTAAATCAATTTCCATGCAAGATCTACGCAACTGGTGAAAACTTAACAAAATAAATCAAATTCACGTTGATCTGCTCAAATAGTTGTTCTTACTCTTTTAATATCGGCAAAATATTAGTGACTTAGTCTGAATTTTAGAACCATCAGCAGTGCACACGGACGACCTTACATACATATATTGATCTTATTTGAGGTATCATAGAAAACTAAGGAGCATCGGATAGTCGTTTCATCTTAATATTAAGTTCACAGTAAAGCGCATCTGTGACCTCTCCGAAGACCGAACCCATGAGTGTTCCTTCACTACAAATATATCACACTGGACCATCATACCCAACTGCGATTATTAGTTGATATGTACATTTCATCATCATATACAGAAAGATGACTATTTTGTAGCAGTAAGTAATCACCTTGAAGAACACTCATAAATGATTCATACAGAGAATTAGAGTATCTGGCTACACATACGCTTAAAATAATCTATCAGTGAGACGAATCGGACGGTTGATATAAATAGCTCTTTTAAATTGTTATTCAACACTCCCCATGTAAATAAATTTATTGTATTCTTAATATTGTATAACAATAAATTAGAATTGTTAGTAGCTCAGATTTAGTTGTAATTGTACTACAGTCTTCATTCTATCGATTTTCATGATTATTTGGATTGTCAGTCTGATTAATTCGTTTGACCTTATTTTTTATATATTCGTGATTTTTTCATTAAATATTATGAAGACAGGTTATTAGTTTATGAATTAGACTGTACAGAATTTATTGTATACTAATAATACTGATTTGTTGTCATGATAATCATACAGTGAATCACTTAAAAACTGTCTAACATGATTAGATTAAAAACTCTTGGCTAAATTATTACTAGTAATCAACAAGTTTTGAGAAATAAAAGTGTCCGCAATTCAAAATTATTTTATACTACGTTGAAACACTTTTAAAAACGTTCACTATTTCTGAGAATGATATGAATGAGAATAAACTAGCAATAAACACCTTATTTTTCTTTCGGTTAAAACAAAACCACCGCACTATTTTTTACCATAGATAAATACGCTGTGTCGTTGATTAGATTCGAACTCTATACTGTTGTACAGACAATAAATGATTTCTATTAAACCAATTTGCTACATGAACTTGGAACAAATACAAAACCTAAGTTTTCGCACATAAGTGAGGGTACTTTGCTTCTGTATCTTACAACGGTGAGCTATCAACCTCACACATTAAAGTATAGTTATACATTATCTTATACCATACTTTTATATCCTAAACTATTTATTTACCCCTACACTGAGCGCATATTTTAACAGCTGCCGTCTACGCGATTTCGGAGCATTCATTCATATACTATGGGAACGAGATTCACACCACTGCTACGAATGGCTCAATTACGACACTCAACGACTCTAAGGCATGAATATCAAGATAAGAGCTTAGAAACCTGTATTTGTGGGTTTATAAAGAGCTACAATCAGCAGACATTTTGTTTACTATATAACAGACTCTAAAGTACAGAAGCCTTTACCACTAATGTGCACAAATTCTAAATATATGTAATATGTAACATTAGAACCTGAGTCAGTCTCTCTTATCATTAGAAAATAATTACACCATTTATACTACAATACGCCAGCATTATTCAAATAGCTTATTGTAATAAATGAGTTCTGAAGTACAATGGGAACAATTTGCTCTGACCAACCATTCACATCAGACCTAAAATCTTCGTAGTTTTTAGATATAAATTAGTGACCGAATGAGGAAAGATTACTTATATCTTTTTATGGTTCAAAACTATCTACAGACAAAAGCAGAATCTACTAACATCTAATACATTAAAAGTGAATCCTTCGAACTGTTTAGGAATTCTTTTGAAATTTACTAGATTCCCAGTTTACAAAAGAAGCATACTATGACTGCAAAAGATACAGCACAACTCGTTTTGGTTAAATACCAACAATAATAGCTAACTCATTAAAGCTATTAATAATAACAAATGATGCCGACGTAACACATTACATACATCATATGGCTTATCTTAACGAAAAGCATAAAATGAAGTACGAATGAATTGTACTGTAATATCGTTCCTCTCCTGTAACCAACCTTTTATCAAAAATAGATCAAATATAAGGTTATGCGTGTTTTAATAAAACGATTATTCACGCTTTCAATACTTGACGCATGATTCGGGAGTTCCTTGGAAAATATGTGAATTCAGAATTAGTAAGTTTTAAGTCACCTAACTGACTAACAATGAGAAAATTTTGATGTGTTGCAATTCGGTTCATCTTTAAGTGTCACCCTTAATTTTTATTTCAGAAGAAACAATAGCTCGTTTATCTAACAGCGATCATCAATAAGTTGGATGTGATTTTCAGTAATTTCATCGGATATTTGGCCAAAATCTCCGTAACCATTTCACTGTTGTGATATAGAATTTGAAAGTTTTTGTTCTGTCTTTAAAAAGCGTTTGACGTGTAAACCAAACAGATGATTAAAAATGAAATGATGTAGTAACTCCAAATTTCGAGATTACAGTTAAATATAACGAGTAAGATCTTTGAAGTTGAATGAACTGAAAGAAATATGACTAAGTCTCTTACTTACGCTCATATCATATATAAATAAAAGATTATACTTGCCTTGTGGGATATTCATAACGCCTATTGTCAAACCACCGGAGATATCTTTCAAAAAATCTGACCGCCAATTATAATGTGTCAAAATATCAATACATGGAAATATAGACTTGATAAAGTATATCGAATATGATTTCCATTGTTGTTTACTACAACATGAGAATGATTTTAAACAACAATGACTTTTCTTAATGCTTGAGTTAGTATGTTTAGACATTAGTGAATCCCAATCTGCAATCGGTCGACTGAATGTGATACGTCCTAAGTGAACATTTGTCACAAATTTGTTTTCATTCATAGTTCCATTTAAATTTAGTGATTTACAATGAGTCTCATCATTATTAACTGCGACATAGCTTGACATTGCACAGAAATGAATTAAGTCACGTTATATCAATTACTTTTATTATTACTATTATCTCTAGTTTATATATAATCTATTTAAATGACTGATGGACGGATAAAACCTTATAGGTGATTTGTAGCTCATCAATAATCCAATCACAATTACTACTTAGTGTACACACATAAACATACGTAAACGGACATAATTCCATAACTTAGTGCAAATGTGAAACGAATACGAACCTGTGGAAATTCTAAATTCACATAGTAATTAGTAATATGCGTATGCAATGTGCGTATGATATTCAACAAGATAGACGAAAACACAAAAACCGAAGCACAAAAGTAAAAAATAACAAATTAAGCAAAAATAGATTTTGGAAAAACAAAAAAATGGTACACAGGTAAAATTTAGAACTTTTTTTTACCAAAAAGTGGAGTCAATTTACATGGGTAAAGAATGAAGACAAATTTCACTGTTTTCGCATTTTCGTGAAATCATCATCATCAGCATCCTATATATATTCACAAAAACTAAATTCGAATATTTCCATGCGTTCATGTTAAGGTTTATATCAATGCAGAAATATTCAAACCACTGAATTCGCTGAACTAATACAACAAGGGGACGGTGAAGTAAAAACAGTGACTATAACAAATATATCAATAAGTCTTTGTCTTAGAGGAATTGTGGAATATTTAGAAGTAGAAAATGTTTATAGCTACAATTTTAAAGCATCTGAAAGAAGGGATCGAACATCTCGTTCACTAATTCGATTCGACGATATAGGATTCACAATCGATAAACTGAGATCCGAGGCAGCTGAGTTCCAATTACCAAGGACTTTGAAAACATTTTCATTTTCTGTCATACCATCTAGACTGGAACATGGTAAAATATTAGTTGACTTCGACCTTCTACTCCGGGAACTAACACGAGTAGTGTCTTCAGATTCCTCGGTCTGTTCTGTGTTGTGTTCAGACACACAACCTGTTACATTCTGTTCCATTTGTAATTTCTCAGATGCAATGCGCAGCATACCCTCTTCTAAAGTACCTTCAGAGATTAGTCGTATGACGTGAACAGGACTAGAAAATTAAAACATGATAGTTTATTAGTACAAAAAAGATAAAAAGCAGACATTTAAATAACACGGTATGATATCATTCAATGAAAGAGTAGAATATACCTTACAGATAAAACTAGTTATTTAAAAAGGCATATAACATAATCATTACCCATCACTTGTAATTTCTAATACAATATGAACTAACGTTCATACTCCATATTGAGAAACATATACAATTTTTTTACATTCAATTGAGATCAGTATACCTAATAATCACAATGTAATGATGAAGTCTTGGGTATTTTTACTGAATCCAATTGACCAAATTGGCTAGGGTGATTATTTCAAAAGGTGATATCATTTGTTTGGCATTTTTGATTTTATTTTGGTAACGGCAACCGGTTTTAAAATTCTAGGGAACCTATTTTAAAAATGCATGGTCATTACAATGGGTTTTTCTATTTTCCATGTTTTTAATGAATTACTTATGCATGTAAATCTTAAGACGTACTTATCATGCACTTAAATCCTACAGTTTACGATGATACTCAATAATATACAAGAAACAAGCAGAAACATTAATATTTGACATATTCTTTGGAAAAAAAGAGAAAGTATTTGGATCTGTGCACAAAACGCATTATGTAGTGTGGTAATGGATGAAAACAGTTAAAAATGAATGGCAGATAAACATTGTTGGGAATGTAATTTGATATATGGTTGGAATAGCTACAAATGGCATGTATGTTAAAGTTGAACAACTTACAGGAATAGGATGTATTTTATACTGAGAATTCTTTACTGTAACCAAATATATGGTACTGAATCAAGCAACTATCATCATTAAAATTCAAAGCCGATTGTCGTAATCAATAACGAGGCTAAAAGTGTTGTGCAATGACCAATGACATTAAAAAACATTTTAAAACAAAGATGTAGAGAAATATAGTTTGTAATAAGGAAAAACACAAAATATGCGCATGATATAACGTACTTTTTCTGACCAAGTCGATGACAGCGATCCTCTGCTTGTCGATCATTATATGGATTAAAATCGATATCATGTATTATTACAGTATCCGCACCAGTTAAATTAATACCTAGGCCACCAGCTCGTGTAGATAGTAGAAAAACTTCAATCGATGAGCTGTGTAAAGATGTACAGGGGATTAAGTGAATTCAGGATACTTAATATAAGTAGTAATTTAGCTAGAAAAAAACGTGAGGATTTTAACCGGTGATTTTTTAATGTAACCAGTTAAGATTTTACTGATATTTCTTAGTGTAAATTTAAAATCTATTTAGTGGCTAGGTGTGGCCAAACTAAAATATAAAAGCAGTCTCTGAAATCATTCAGCTGAGCAGCCGTTGATGAAGGGTATCTGATTGAAATTATCGTAACCAATAGTTGAAGACTTTAGATGATATGGTTCGGAATCAGCAACAGTGGCCCAAATATTTTGTAAATGTAGATGCATGGAAGTTTATTGAAAAATAATTCCCATTCCCTGTAAAAATCTTTCATTTTGGTCAGCAAAAAAGAATATTTCGTTCTTTAGACATAAGCACTCGATGTTTGAGTTAAACACTTGTAACAGAAATAAACGTCACTCAATCAAACACAATAGAACTTTAAATCTAGAATTGATAATCTGATTATTGTGAGTTGAATAACAATATTTTAATACATATAGTGACTGGAATATATATGTATATATATAATGAACAAATAATTAAATAAAAATTTTAGCATGCAGATGAGCATTGCTAATGAAATGGAGACAAACTAATACCAAATATTTACCTGTTGAAACGATCTATTAATGTTTGTCGTTCCGAGACAGGAGTTGATCCATCCATTCGTATATAACGCCTGTTAGTTATCCTTAAAAATTCCTCTAATATATCTAACATGATGACAAACTGACTAAAAATCAAAATACGATGTCCTTCAGAGACTAATTTAGGCAAATTGTCATTTAACCATTGGATTTTTCCAGATCCAGAAATGATCGATTCCGGGGAAAGAGTATATGGTGATAAAACCTAAGGATTAAGAAAAATATCATTTCATTGTGTCAAAAGAGACATCGTATTTATTTATTCTTAAATATCAATTTGTATTGACTATATTTATGGGCAAAAGATGTTTGAATTTTTAACACATGTAGTTACAGAGCCAACTAAACTACTTAATTTTTATTCAGTAGCAGTAGACAAGCCCATGTAAAATGAAGCGGGAAGAAAAACAGTGAAATTAAAAATCAATAACCATGACATCCATTAAAGCCATTTGATCAGTGTGATCTGTTTCAGTAACGCCCTATTTACTTAATAATTTGCATAATATTCCTTGAAATGACAAGGCTTATATTATTAAAATAAGTCGAATACTATAGATGAGATAGTGCAACTGTCTTCATTAGTGTGAATGATAAATCAAAAAGGTAAGCATACAAAAATCGACTTATTGATGTGCTCATATTCAAGTTGCCGTAGTTAACAAAACCACAGATAGAGGAGAGTCAAGAGAAATTAGATGTTATTACTAACAGGGTTACGAAACAAGAGAATAAATCAAGTTATAAAGTCTTTTAAATTAAGGGGATAATTAGAGAATGGATACTTTAATGTTATTGCACCTAAGTAGTGTTCACTGACATATACATGATTTCAAGGGGGGGGGTAAGTCGGAGAATCTACACCGAAATAAAAAACAGATCAATAATCGCAGATTTTATGAACGAACGGATACAATCAAACTATGTACGACTACGATCGGAGAATAATATCGAAATAAAAAAGACATCAAACCGAAAGGAAATCATTGAGTCCTTCTGGTATTATGATAATCGGACTTCATCGCAACTAAATCAGTTTTGAAGTTCGATATGTAACTTATCTTTGACAACTAAAAATACTGGCTCTAATACTATTTTCAGTAGGTATTGATAAGTCGCAAATCGAACAGTTAGAAATACAATGTAAATCTCAAACAGTAATTTATTCTGTTGTAAATAACTTGTGACAAAATGACTATATCAAGGTAATCCGCACATGATTCATATACTCCAGCCTGGACTAATCAAAGTTGGGGTTTGAACATCAACGAGATAGTTTGAACCCTTATTGATAATTATATAAACAACATAACGGTTGATTGGGTTATTAGTTTTGTGAACTCAGTAGGCCAATAAATAACCGGTCGTCGTTTGGAGAGAAAAGCACCGGGTTCGAAGCCCAACTTAATATCAGCTATGGGATGTAGGTAAATTTACGTGACGAGTTCAAAATACGATGAAATGCACGTCCCTGATTCTACTATTAGACACAAGCCTGCATTATAAATGTTTTATTAGACCCTCAATAAAGATGAAACAAATTTACAGATAACATGTAAACACCTACATTTACAGCGACTTTAGATAGAAGCAAATACGTGCAAAGATAGCACGATTGTAAATGATGGGAAGGGACAACGTCAAATGGATAATTGAATGGAAGAAAAGCTCTATGTACATATATGTCAAAAAAATTGTAAGAAAAAATTTGATGTTTATTTTGGACTCAGTGAACACCTATATCAACCTTTTACTTGTTAAGAAGTTATGAATATTTGTTCTGTATATATTCACATTAGTTTTCGAATAAAATATTAATGAACATTTATCAGTTTACTTGCTTTCGTAGCGGTGATTAGGTCAGTTGTACCATGATGTTCACTTGTAAAACGTCTCCTTGAACATTATTCGGCTCGACTGAACTGAACTGAACAGAAAATTATATACAGCTTCACTACAGACCACTTAGTCAACTCAGGGGTCAATCAGACAGTTTTAAAATATATCATAAAATTTTATGACGTTTGATCGCGAAATCAGAAAGGATTAAGAATAAAATATAGCACAGCCGAATTATTTAGCAAACCAGAAGTTCAATTTGACATTAT